ATGGTGTTCCTAATCAATTTCATGTTTCTTGTATAAAAGATGAATAAGAATTAGCAAGGTTTAAAATATGAACAGCACAATGAATAAACGACGCAAGCGGATGACTTTGGTGAATAAGAGATTGAGCTCCGTTAAATTGACCAGACATAGAAACACATCCATCGTAACACTGTTCTCTAAGTTATTTTGTTTTTACACCAAATGAATGTAAACTTTGAATAATAATATATAAACCTTTTCCAGTAGTATCTGTTGTAGGCACAAACTGAAGAATTCTTCCTTGATAATCATATTTTCAACATCTAAATATCGAACACACAAAGTTACTTGTTCGCTTCCACCAATGTCGGCCGTTTCATCAGCAAGTATTTTGAAACATCTTTGGGCATTTATGTTTGTTACGATTTTATTTAAAATAATTTTATTACAGGATTCAATTATTTCATTTTGAAGTGTTTCACTTGTATATTTTATTGTTTCTTCAGCTTCCAAAAATGATTTTAAACGGTCATCTCCTTGGGCTCTGTATCTTAATATTTCTCTAAAATTTCCTTGATTTTCTTGGATAATTTGTCATTTTCTTGATATATATTGAAGTTACAAAGATAGCCGTTATTGTCAAAAAAAAAAAAAATAATAATAATAACATTAAAAATGCAAATAATAATTAAACCTATAAGGTAGTTAAACCCTAAAGTTATTTTCGATTTGTTAAAGTCGTTAAAATTAATTCAAATCTCCTGTTATTTTCTTTTATCAGAATTATTATGTCATTAATTCAATTATTAATTAAATTGTTAAACTATATTATATATTCAACTTAATAAATTTTTATGTTGATTATAATCGCATGGCATGATGTTTTTTGTTAATAACTAAATGGAAATAGCAATTTCACATGGGCAAAATTTTTAATAGTTGCAAGAGAATAAATCCAAACGTTGATATTTTATTTCATACAGATTAAATTTTATATGCATAAATATTCTGTTAACCGATATCAAATTTATTCCACTTGAACTTTCATAAAAAAATCTCTATCATTTGTAAACTAATGTAATAAATAAACAAACAAATACAAAAGGTTTTTCTTCAAAATATCTTTAATATATATATAATTTTTTTTTTTGATAATTCTCTGTATTATTCTTAAAATATTGTATTCTTTGACCAATAATACAATTAAAATAAATAAGTATTGTTTATACTAAATTTATTTATAATTGGCTTATACATTTTTTTAATGAATTTTTACAATTAAGTTTCCTTGACAATTAGATGTAAATGTTGATTTTATCGACATTTCAGTTCACTTCGTTTTTTCCCGTGAAAAATAAACTGTCGTCTTGTGTAATTATTAAGATTTATTTAATTAGTTATTGATATGGCAAGCGAAAAAAATATTTTTGGTCAAACAAATGAATCAAACTTATATAAGGTCATACGCAGAGTTGAAGAAATATGGAATCGTCGTTTCATGCATTCCAATTGTGTTTTAAATAATACAAATAAAGGACAAATATCAAAAAAGTCAACTAAAGATGGAAGAATTATCTGTAAACACTATTAAGATTAATAATTAAACTAACTATTTCGAATAGAGAAAAAGTTTTTTAATATAAAATATAAGAAAAATTAATAATAAGTTCTCTTATTCATATATAACAATAATTCAGTCGCTTTACTTTAATTTAACTATTTTAATATTAAAAACCTTTTTCGAAATTGATTATTTAATTAATAATTATTAAAATTATATTCAATTTGCAGCAATTATTAATAAAAATATTTATCCTATAAAAAATTCCATTATTCCAAAAAAACGCACGTATCGAAAAACGAATAAAAATGATAAAATTATTCCAGAAAAATTGGTAACTATAATTATATTAATATATTTATTCGATTTAGCTATGTTATTGGGGTTTGTCTGATTCAAAAATATAAAATAAACTATCAACCCCCTTAATATAAATGCGGTAACATAATGTTTAATATTATTCTGCTATTTTTTCTATTAGATTTTTATGGGAAATTCAATTTTTATCGAAGATAATAATATAATATTAAGTATAGTTTATTTGTTTATTTAAATATCTCTTTGGTTACCTAGAATATGATGCAGCAAAGAGAATTCGGAACACTTTTTCAGAATGAAAAATCTGAAAAATATAAAAATGAAATTTTAAATTCAACAGAAAAAAAAAATATAGCAATTTCAAAAGACAATCCGCTATTAATATCAGCTGATTTGTTAGAAAAGGTATATTTTATTATGCTTTATTTCAATAAAAAGATTTTAGGGTATACCCTAAACCATTTTTTGGACTTAAAGCAGATTTCTTAAATAAATTTATCATATAATTAAATATATTTTTATGATCCGTTAAGAGTTTTCATAAGAAAAATTTGGAACGCAAAAAATCCGAAATAAAAAAACAACTTTTTGAGATATCTTCTAATACTACTGCTCGACCAAATTTAAAAAGAAATTCATCCGAAGAAGATGAAAAAGTCATAAAAAGTATACAACTTTTAAAATATAATTCATTTTTAAAAAATATGAAGTTTTGATTTTTGAAACAAATATGTAATATTTTTAAACATAAATTATTTTAGAGCCAAAAGTTAGTTCTAATCCTTTGACCTTAAATACGCCGAATGACGTAAATTTACTTGCTCTGTCCACTATTGAAGTAATAAAAGTACCAGAGAAAGAAAAAGGTAATTAGTTATTTAATCTATTTATTTTATGTAAAATTAAATAAAAAAAGATTATTTATTAAACATAATTAATTATAATAATACGAGTTAAATTAATATAACTTCTGCAGAGGCGTGTAATTAAGGGGGTCCATGGACGTTTTAAACAAAAGTAATTATACGTGTTTAATTTCATATTCCAAAACCTTAAATAAACCTAAATAATAGTAAACTGTTCAACAAAGTCTTTTATTAATTTTATGAAAAATGTTTAAATATGGTTACACTTGCAGAAGTAATGCAAGATCAGAACACAAAATCTCTTGATCAGTATAATGCACCTTCATTTAAATCGCCCACATCATGGTATACTTCAGACACAATTAATGAGTACATTAAAATGATAGTAAAACGGTCAGAAGGTGAAGTTTATGCAGTTGTCACTGATTTTATTGTAGCGTATCTTCGAGGAGGTTATCCAGCTGTAAGAAGATGGATAAAAAAAGATATTCACACAATAAAATTACTTTTTGTGCCCATGAATGTATATGGGAGTCATTGGATATTGACAGTGGTTAATATACCTGAAAAGACTGTGACATCATATGATAGTCTTAAGTCGTATAAGGGTCCTTATCCAATGGTATTAAAAAATTTCTTAATTGAATGGGAGATGGACAAAAAAGGAAAAGCTTCTACATGGACATTACAAATAGGCGAGACATCTCGCCAAACCAATGGACATGATTGTGGGCCATTTACTGTTGAGCTGGCAGAAAAAATGTCTCGAGGAGATACAACACCAATAAATGCAAATTTTATGCCTTTTATAAGATTAAGACACAAAAATGAAATTATTGCTGGCGAGCTATTCTATTAATATTTTTATGAATGAAATTTTATTTTTGTATTTTATATCAATTTTCTTAATATTCACTATAAATTGAAATTTTTATTTGTATACCACCAAACATTTTTTTTACTTTTTCTATGTTTAATTGTTGTTTTGTTATTTTATATTAATCTTATTTTTCTTTGTAACATTATTTCATTAAAGAAATTCAAATTTAATATAAATTTATCTTAACTGAAATAATTTAATGTCTGGTTATGTGAATATACAAATATTATAATATACAGTTATGGATACAATTAAGTTAAAAAGTCAGCCAATTATAAATTTTTAAGTTAACAAGTGTATCTACTATCTTAACAACTTAATTTTAATTTTACTAAATGACGATTCATAAAGAATTTCATAACTTTTTTTTATTTTTTAATACTATTTTAATTATAAAGAATGCTTTTCTGTATTTTTTATGAATGCGGTATATTGAATAAGGGTACTAAACTTATTTGTTTATAATTCTCTAAACTGATAAACTATAAAATAAATTTAAAAATGAACTACAAGTTCAGAATATTTCCGTTGTTGTTATATTTTTGCTACGGGTATTTTTGTTATCTAAATGACCCAATGAAATCCAAATAATTTTTAGAAATCTCTGATAAAATGTAGATAAATACGTGTCGTCGAATCCTATCAAATTATCTTCAATTTTGTTATTTATTTAAAATACCATTTATTTTATAGTANTATAAATTTTTAAATTAACAAGCGTATCTACTATCTTAACAACTTAATTTTAATTTTACTAAATGACGATTCATAAAGAATTTCATAACTTTTGTTTATTTTTTAAATACTATTTTAATTATAAAAAATTCTTTTCTGTATTTTTTATGAATGCGGTATATTGAATAGGGGTAACTAAACTTATTTGTTTATAATTCTCTAAACTGATAAACTATAAAATAAATTTAAAAATGAACTACAAGTTCAGAATATTTCCGTTGTTGTTATATTTTTGCTACGGGTATTTTTGTTATCTAAATGACCCAATGAAATCCAAATAATTTTTAGAAATCTCTGATAAAATGTAGATAAATGCGTGTCGTCGAATCCTATCAAATTATCTTCAATTTTGTTATTTATTTAAAATACCATTTATTTTATAGTAAATAAATATAATATATTATAAAAAAAAAGTTAATACCAATATATTAGGCATTTTTTTAAGTCGGGAGGTGTCCAAACATGGAGGACACCCCCCCAAAATACGCCACTGACAATAATTAATAATTTGAAATTTAATATTAAAATGACGCCACGTTGCAAAATTAATAACCACGGATTCGTCACTGACAGAAAACAAATAGGTCAACCGGCAAATTTGTTTTTATCGCAAAGCCACTAATTCATTATCAGTTGTGATAAGCATTTTTATTAACCTATTATAAGAAAACAGTGTAAATTTTGATAAAAATAATAGGCACTTCGCTCAAAAAATGTGCGGATTATTCTTCGTGTTCTTAATGATTTAATACCTAATCAATTATATATTTTAAACATTTTGTTTGATATAATTCAAATGTTGTCAAATGTTACGGTTTATTTCTTATGTTTATCTTACCTAGCGTTTACATGCCACGCTGTAAGACCAGAAGAAGGAGTATGGAACCTCGTCGTTAACCCTGTAAATACAATATAAATATAAATATGTTTATTTTATTATATTCTTAAATTAATTATTGTTTTTTATTAGGATTATGATATTTTCAGTTTTAGTAGTAGTTTATTTAGTGGCTCTGAAATTTCCATCAAAGGTTAGTGATAAAATTAAAGATACATTTACAGTTCTAAAAGTAAAACATTAAGTAATTGTTATTTTATTATAGTCAACTGTGATGATACTTACAATGTCACGGTCGCCTGGATCCTTACTGAGCCTCTATGCTGGAATGAATACCTTAACTTAGGTCATGGAGTGAGTTTTAACATAATTGTCTTTTTGTTAATACCTTTTATATATTTTTTATTATTTTAACCTTTTGCTTTAGTTAATCAAACAACTTCAATTAAAATACATAGAAAATAATGTTTATTCGAATAATACTTACAAAAAATTTGATGAACATGATTACTCTTGTGCTAAAGAAATTGTTCTCGTAAGTTAACTATAGTGTTAAATTATTTCTTAAATAAATTTTATAGTATAATTAAAATAATTTAAATTTTTTATAGGATGATTTATCATCACAACCTACTACTAAATCAAATTTAGTACCCATGCATAAGGTTAGCTAATTTTAATAAACTCATATTTTTCTTGTTTTTATTTTAGACATTAATTTCATGTTTCTTCCAAATAACAAAAACTGTTTATTCTTAAATTAATAAATATAAAAAATTAATGTGCTTGATAAAAATATTTAATTATTTAGAGAGGAAGATTTCGAGTCTATACAGTTCCCAAAGATGGTATGTACTTATTAACTGTGACAGTAACTACCAAAAATAGTCAGATGCCGTCAAGTGATACCATTTTAGAAAATTTTACTGCTAATTTACAAATAACTATGTGTGGACCTCAAGGATACTTATCAGCATCTAACTGGCCTTTGTTACCTGTTAGTATAACAAATACTATTATTTATTTCAAAAATTTATTAATTTTCCATTTTTCTAGTTTTATGAAATAATGTGTTTTGTATACATATGTTTTGGCATAACTTGGTTGATTTTACTATTTTTACAATGGAGGGATTTACTTCAAATACAATTTTGGATTGGTGCTGTTATCCTACTAGGTATATTTTTATATTTTACCATATAAAAAATATTTAAGTTGATTAAATATTTATAGGAATGGTTGAAAAAGCAGCCTTTTATGCTGAATATTATGAGTTAAATTCAACAGGCCGTTTAAATTCTATTTATGGAGTAATGACTATGGCCGAAGTGATCTCATGTTTAAAACGAACCCTAGCTAGAATATTAGTTATCATTGTTAGCTTAGGCTTTGGTATAGTCAAGTAAATCCTACATTGATTATTATCAAAATTAAATTATCAAACTTTAATTAATTTTATTTAAATTATTTTAGGCCAAGATTAGGTCCTCTCTTACCAAAAGTTTTAGGTGTTAGTTTTATGTATTTGGCCATGTCATTATTAGAATCATATTTCCGATTGTCTACTAATATGAGTACAGAAATGTTGCTAGTTGAATTGCCATTAGCTATTTTAGATTCTGGTATAGTGTGTTGGATTTTTTCAGCTTTAACCCAAACAACTAGAGCATTACGCTTACGAAGGTATGCTATTTTACTTTTTAAAACATTTATAATTTAAATCTTTTATTTCAATTTAGAAATGCTGTGAAACTTCAATTATATACTCATTTTACTAATGTTCTTGGATTTACTGTCATTACATCAACCTTATTTATGTTATATTCTATTAAAACACAACGTCTTGCTAACTGTGTTGGAGTATGTATTATTATATGAATACATTTTTAATTTACATTAGTTTTTTATTATTGTAAAGTCATGTACATATAATAATTTAATAAATGAGGAGTTTAGCTGTTCAATAACATTTTTACATTTTATCATTCAAAAAATTTATTACAGAATTGGCAAGAACAATGGCTGGATGATGCTTTCTGGCATATTGAATTTTCAATTATTCTACTTGTCATAATGATTTTATGGAGACCAACAAACAATAACCAAAGGTAAAATTGATTTTAAATTATAGAAATGAAAAATTGATTTGTTAATATATATTTGTCTATACTTTTATTAATAATTTTTTTATTTAGGTACGCATTCACTCCTTTATTAGATGCACCTGATGATGACAGAGACGAAACTGAACTATTTATTAAAGAGACATACAACGGTGATAAAATATAAACAAATATTTTTAATATTTTTATTTATCTGATGTTTAAAAATATTGATTTTCAACAGAAGTTAAAATGAGAACTACTGCAAATACTTCAAATCAAAATTCTCATGTCACACCATATAAAGACTATCCTATTTCAAATAGTAGTAGCACAAAAAGTCAAGCACAAATTGTAAGTATACCACTTTTAAATTATTTTTAAAGTTAATACAACTTAAACCATTTCTTATAGGATGATGATTTAAAATGGGTTGAAGAAAATATTCCTGGCTCATTATATGAAACGTAAGTTAGTAAATTATTATTTTTTATCTAATTCTAATAAATGTTTACCTCGTTTTTCAGGACTGTACCAATTTTAGACTATAGCGAAGTGAGTTTTTTTTAAGCATATAATTTAAATTTAAATATACATATTTTATAATAATTTTTTCTCTATTTTAGGATGACCACAACACTGCTATCGAAAGGTCTAAATTGCAATAATCTGAACTACTTAAAAAAATTTGTTCCCAATTAAATTTTTAGAGTGTTTTTTATTTTTATTAATTTAACTTAAAGTTATTAATAATGCCTATTATTTTATACTGATTTCTTTAAATATTGTCCTTTTTAATTGTGGTATTTAAATTATGTACTATTTTTTGTTAATTAATTAAATGAGTTTACGTTCCTTATCAATCTTTCAAAATTATGTAAATTATTATAATTTAGATAATGTCAACTCTATAAAAATAAAAACCTTTGAAACAATTTATGTATAAATAATGTATTTTATAAACATTTTGTAAAAAATATATTGATGTATCATGTATTAATATTTTTTTATTTCATAACATAAAAATAAATTATTTGATCAAAGGCATATTTCATTTCAGAAATATCCTTGACATTGATTTATTTAATGTTGCTTTAACATTTGGTGATGCTGCTAATGATATTAGCGATGCACCTCTTGGATCCTCACTCAATTTAGCTAAGATGCGTTGAGCAGCTTGCCTAAAAAGAAAAAATATATTAGAAATAATTATTCAGTGTAAATGAGAACAAGAACATACCTAGAGGAAGGTGTATTGTCAAATACTAAACTGGTAGCTGAAGTTATCACAGCATCTCTAGCTTCTGTAGGTAAGTAAAGTGTCCCATTTACACCTAGTTTATCAACTATTTTTGATAGTAAACGACAGGCCTCAGCTCGAACCAATCTATTACCATGTCTACAAATAAAATACTTGAGTTTTTATTAATGTGAAAACACTTTTAAATAAACTTACTTAACGCCTTTAGCTGCCACAACTAGTACACATTTACATGGATTCACTTTGTCGACCATGGCATTTAATGCTTCTGAACTTTGCACCCTAAGGAATTTATTTGTATCGGCTGTTCGAGGAAATAACGCTGAAGCTATTTCTTCTATATCCTATTTATAAACAAACAAAATACTTTTTATTCTAATTATAATTGGACATTTTTGATGATTTATTCAGCGAACCGGTTCCAATGCTTTGGGTACATAAGTGAATATTTTCTGAGTAGCTGTACAAGCTGCTCTAGCCACTTGTGAACGTAAGCAACGAATGTGTTTAGCAATTAAGCGGCCATATGGTTGAAAAGAGTTAAGTCGCAATTCTTTACCATGAAACATCACTAATCGCGAAATATTTTGCAAGCCTGTTACAACTGCTTCCCTGTAAAAACAGAAGAAAATTTTTTTTTTGTTTTTAAATGTCAATTAATTAATTTGTTCATTAACTATAAATAGAATGCAGATAGGAAATGATTTTATATAATAAAAAGTTAACGAGTTCAATTGTTTACATGAATAAAAATGTATTTTATCACTAACTCATAGTTATACTGAAAAAAACTTATTAGCTAAGTTTTTAACGAAACTATTAAAGAAATATCTTAGATATTATCCTACCTATATAATATAAAAGTAAAATATTTTGTAGATAAAGACTTCAAAAAGTTAAAAAAAAAACATAAGAAATTTTATAGAAATAAATTAGTTTAAGATGTAAAGACTACTAATTCAAAATATAAAAAAATAATTTGCCAGCCATATGTAAAGCTTTATAATAGATTAGCCCCTGCTTAGTGGTAAATCAGAATCATACCAGAGCATCAATTAAATAAATACATGTTAAATATATTGAGAAAATTTTTAATGTCTAGAAAACACTTAAAAAAATAGCTGAGAAATTTAAATAAACATTTATATTATGAAAGCTAATACGAAAAAATTATTAAATTTATTAAGATTCGATATTAAATAAAATAACTATTTTAGCTTACGATAATTGAATACAAAAATTTATTTTCAAAAACATAGTTTAACAATGACCTTGGTCACCTATTCTCAATTTCATTCGTCCTATGGCTCGGCAAATCTTGAAGTATTAAAAATTCATTTTAAAGAGGTGATATTAGGAAAAATTATTAATTATTAATTTTAAACACTCTAAAATATTAACCAATACGCATATTACGTTTTAATATTCGTACATACACACATTTAGACAAAGACTCATTTCAAGAATCAGTTGTTTGCAATTAAAAGAAGGTATGGATATGAATCACTTTATGCAAATAAAATTTTTAGAGTTACACAAAGCCTAAATAAACTTAAAATTTGTATGGAGTTCTTGAACCTTAAATATCTTACTCAGAATGGAGTTATAATAACTGTATAGTTTTATATAAACCAAATCATTCACTTGTTTGATTTGAATAATTAGTGGCTAAACAAGATTTTAATTGTTACACAATTTATAAAAATCGATTACCATTCATTACTACTAATTTGAACCGATATCAGTTCTGAAATCCTGTTAGGGTTATCAAAGGGAGCTAAGCTAGACCCTTGCACGTCACTTGACTTTCTTTGAATATTTTTAGGCAAAACAGTAGTTGATTTTTTCCTCTCTTCTAATGGTTTAACATTCTTCGTTGGCTTTACTTCAGCTACTGGTTTACTTAACAAAAAATAATAATTATTAATATCCTGCCACGTCACAATATCCTCTTTTTAAAATCTTACTCGTTGTTATTCAGAGATTGAATGTCAACACTCGACGCATATAACTTTATGTTAGAAGCTGGTTTTTCTGTAGTAACGGCCAAAGTAGTGTATGACATAGAATTTATGTCATCCAAGCGTCCTTTAGAACTATTATCGGGGTCTTGATTATTTCGCCAATAAATTGGTTTAGCAATCAAGTCACTTTCAATCTGATTTTTAACTATCACAGATGTCTGCTGTTTATCTTCAACTTCAGACTTTGCAACATCAGCCAATTTCGTGGCTGATGTCGCTGGCAATTTATCTACTTTACTTTCGGGTACGACAGTCATGCAAAATACTGGCCTTGTCACCTTAGTTGGGGATTCCAAGCTGTAAAAATAAACAAAAAAAATTTCATAGTTTTTTGTTAACAATCGATAAATTTTAAGTAAACATATAAGTTTTTTTTTTGTTACAAATCTACTATTTTTAAATTAATGGAATTACTCATCAACAAAAATTAGTAAATATGTTTTAATCCTTAACTTATATTGCAATCAATAACTGATTGCAACTAATTAGACTGTTACTGAGTTATATACTAAATAGTTTCAAATTAGAGTTAAACAAATTTTTGCCTTTCGTATATGAATCTTTCTATAAATAAATTGTGTCATAGATGTTATTTATATTTCAACGGGAGTTAAATCGCTTACTCGATTATGGAAGCTGGCACGATACAATTATTACTTGATAATTGCACGTGTCCAGGCAGTACAAACATTGTGTGGTTCATAATTTTTCTACGGTTTTTAAGATTGCGTTTCTGGTGACCAACAATTGCTGTATGAAATCTATAATGACGTCTAGCCGCTGTATTTGAATAATTTGTTCTGGGAAACGGATGAACTGCTGCGGAGTTCGAACGATTATGGGGACGGTAACAACACAACCACGAGCGAAACATATTCAACGTTATACCGCTGACTAGAAATATTTGAGTACAACTAAAGACTCTCAAACCACCAACGACTGGCGAAAACAACAATTTGTAGTTTAGATGATTTCTATAATGCATATTTTAATATAAGTCAATATAGGTTACAGGGAGTGGACAGTGGCTATATGGCACCTATTCAAGCGATTGATTATGTCAGGGGAATAAGGTCAGTCGGCATGGTGATATGCTAAATTACCCTAGACAATAACAAAATAAAATACTTGTTGATGTTATCATTTTAACATTTTGATTCTCTTTTTCCTACCCTATAAGGTTATCTAAATATGACCGGTCCCAACGGTAAAGGCTATTATGGAAATACATTTTTAATGCTAACACCCACACTTGGTCATGACTATGCGCATTTATTGTCGGGGGCAGTATAAAATTATTGACTAATTTCAATTGTAATTAGACATTTTTACTCAACGCATACATAATGGTTTATTATTTGCAGTTCAACGTACATGAATAACTATAATAGAATAAAGGTAATATAATATTATTTTAATCCTACAATTTATTAGAAATAATAAATACTTTTAATCTAAAAAGAGCACCTAAGATTTCAAAATTATAAAAAGTATCATAAGACAATTCTTTAAATCGTTTGCTTAATTTTAAATTTAAAATACATCATTATAGTTAACCAGTAAGTATAGAATCTACTAAAAAACGATTTCAATCATGCATTTATATATTATTACTAGTTATCAATTTAAAAAAATCAAACATAAAGTTGGTACTAATATATTCCACTTGCATTACTTGTTATCAATAAGCTCTTATCAAAATCTGTATTAATATTATTTGAAATTTATCTGACTATTAAATATATTGGATTTTTGTATTTAAATTTTCTTAAACTATTGGTATCATTTATATTGATGTAGTAATGAATAAATTTCTATTTCTATTATATTTTTCTCCAATATAGAAAGTGATATTGTATTTCATAATGAATAGAATATTTCTTTGGTTATTTGTGATTCTTATACTAATATCACTTTATTTTACTGTAAGATTAATGTGTTTAATTTATAAACTAGTGTTATGTCCACGTTCCATTAAAGAACAAAAAAATCCTTTGAGAACACTAATTGTTATTGGTTCAGGCGGTCACACATCAGAAATGTTACGTTTAGTTCAAAATTTAAATAGATCAAAATTTATGCCTCGTCTATATGTTATGGCTGATACTGACACTACTAGTATGGTTCAAGTAATGAAACATGAAGAAAATTATGTTGACTGGACAATTACGACTATACCAAGATCTAGACATATAAACCAAACATATTCATCTTCCATATTATCCACACTATATTCAATAGTTATGTCAATGCCTGTTGTATTATCATTTAAACCTGAAATAGTGTTATGTAATGGTCCTGGTACATGTGTTCCTATATGTTTAATAGCATTTATAATGAGGTTATTTCATCTAACAGATACATCTATAATTTTTATTGAAAGTATTTGTCGTGTCAAATCATTATCTTTAACAGGAAAGATTATGTTATTCTTTGCCGATCTAATTATTGTTCAATGGCCAGAGCTCCAGCAAAAATATTCATGGAGAGTTAAATATTTTAAAGAAAATAATTAATTGTTAAATCAATGAAGGTTTGTTTTATACCTAATTAGAAATATATTTAATTTGATTATACAACCTATTAGTTTTTTTAAATAGAAAATTTACACTTTTAATACATGGTAACTATATGTAGTTTAATTTAAGAGTAATGCAATAGAAACTTTATCTAACCTTTAAAAAACTTAGAAAACTATTTTATAATAAAGTTATTTACACAAAAAAATCAAATACTACTATCTTTTTAACAATTGATTTTGATACTTAAAACTTAAAAGAGATATGCCGTTTTATAGTAACTGTATTTATGTTAAAATATGTAAGATTCTATAGTAGTATGCAAATCCAAAGAGTTTGATAGTGCAAATAATTTATATTGTCAAGTAAAATGCATATTGTATTGTATTGGTAATAAAAATAAGTAAACCTACAAGAAATAAATAAATGATAGAATTTACATTTTTTTTATATTTAATTTTAATTTTATCAATTAATGAAAAAAGTTTTACTCAAAATATATATTTCCAAGTATGACGAAACTTCAATTATTGTAGTAAAATATCTTAAATCTATATTTGAAAGAAATAATACGCCCTTTTAGATGAATTTAAGACTCAACATCTGTAATATGCTATGTAGTAAAGTTACTGAATGTCAAAAAATGATATGAGTTAACCCCCCAAAAAAAGTTGTTAGAGTTAAGCCACAAATTGTGTCATGTGCAAAATCTTTAGAATTTTAGAAAATTGGGAGTAACACAAAATCAACCTTTTAGTTTTTACTAAGTTATCAATTCAACTCCACAAAGATGAAATAATTTTTTATATAATTGTTTTATCATAGAACAATATTTAACAACCTTTAAGTTTTTTTCAAAGGAGATTTTTTCTTTAGTTCAGAATATTATGTTAACAAAAATCAACTTTTTTATTTTATCATTAGTCTATTATTTATATTTCAATAATACCTAAATTGGATTTAGAACTATAAAATTTAAAATTAAGTAAACTATAAACATACAGTTGTATGCATATAACTTTATCAATATTAAACATTCATAAATGTTTTTTGTAACTGTTATATGATTATTTGTATTAATAATATTGGCCAACCCCAAGTAGTTGCGATAAAGTCGAGGGAAAAGAAAATACAATTATTAATAATCTAAATATTTAAGCCTACTAATTTTTTAGTTAATTTTAAAGTCTTTAAAATTTCTACATACTTTCTATTAGATTCATCTATTTTCATTTCATTTTGATTTTCATAGGTTCTCTGAAAAAAAAATACATCTTTAATAATACCAATTTATTTTACATCTTTAAAAATAATTTATTTGTACTTAAGAGTAGCGTTTTATTAATGAAACTAAATTTATACTACAAAATAATGTATATTGGTAGTGAAATAAGGTAATTTTTAAAAAGCAAAATTCATATTAATAAATGCAATTTTAATCCAGCTTTATCCTAAAATCACCTTTTTCCTTACAGTCAAAGTAACAGTTAAACTAATAATCCAGTAAAATTATTATTAAAACAACAGGCATTTCAATTTTAATTTTTAAAAGCTAGTTGTAATTTATAATCGACAATAATTTATTAAAAAAAATGAATTACTATAGTAATTTCTTACAATTATGCATAGTTACAAGTAACTGCTTTGACTATATTTGATATTATACTTAATAAATTTATTTTTAACAATTTTTTTGTAACGAAACATTTTTACAGTTATATTCAATATATCATATGATGTTTGAACAAAGGAAATAAATTATAATTTTTTATTAGTTACATTAAAAGAATCGCAGTTTCTTCCAATTGAGAGAATTGCGTGTGGAGAAAAATATCCTTTATAGAATGATATTCTAAAACATTAAGAACTCACATTAATTGCTTCCATTATTACACGTTAAGTGTAAAAAAGTGTTTCATACCTATCGTCCAAACTTCTTTTTAACGGCGTGCCTAACCAAGGTCCTATTTGTGAGTTTGAAAATTGTTTAAAAGCTGAAATCATTGTTTTTATTGTGAGCTCTAATAATCTGAATTGAGTTAAATTATTAATAAGTACTTGACTGTCTCAATGGCGGAAGTGTGTATGGTCTGATTTGGTCAACATGTCGATTGAAAAAACTATTAGATTGACTGACATTCTGAATAGTCTAATAATAATAAAAAAAAATTTATACCTTTAATTATATAAGGTGTCAGTAAGTAAGGAAACTTGTTTTTATTGTTCTTATAGTTTGTAACAACTGGCTTATTTTCTTATTTATATATTTTTTGAGTTAACATGTTTAACCTCAATAATAGCTCATAATATGTCAAAATGAAACAAAAGTTGGGGCCATTAACCCCACTTTGTTCAATTAAGTTGACTATGTTATACCTTGTTCTTTTATGGATTTTCTGTCAGTTACGACTTTTTTATTTTATGGTCACTTACTTTTTTCTAATAAATCAAAGTAAATGACGAGCATAGTTACAAAGAAATTTAATTAAATTTTAGGATTTATTTAAATTTAATCTGTAATTGTTAGAAATTTTGGTGTCAGCCTTTTGAAATAATTCTTAAAAAAAAACTGCATGACTCAAAACTCTCTTCACTAAAAAAAAAATTAACAAATTGACCTAATTTTTTATGCATTTATATTATTTTCTTGACGTTAGAGTAAATAGATATAACACGCTTTAGAATGCTAATTTTCAACCCCGTTTCATAAGATTTCGTGACTATAACACGTGTCTATACTGACCATAGACTTCGACCTACTTATAAGTACATTTTTGCTCACGCTATAGACCGGAAACCCTCAAAACGATTAGAATCTTTGACGTTAAAAATATTTTTGGAACAACAGAAAATACCAATGTATGCATATATGGTATATCAAAAACATAATGCGTACTATAAAATAAATATTTTATTACTTTAAAAAAATGAACAATATGCTATCCTTAAAACACATAATAAGTTCCACGAGATTTCCGACTTCTAAAATTAATGTATGCAATAACAATCAAATGATTTTGCCATAATAGGGTTGAGAAATCTCAATGATAAAAAAATTTGTGGATTTTTGGAAAATTATACTTTCTTTTTCCTTTGGAAAAAAACGAAGGCTAAATTAATGTTGCTAAATTATAAAACAAAAATATTTATATAATTTTTTAAAAGTTTTTTTTCATTTTAGTTATATTAGTAAATGAATGCCTAAAAACATAATTTAAAAAAATAATAAGATCTTACTAGTGAGATATTAGTTTAATAATTTTAAGAAAATACAAAATAAATACGTGCAATAATTTGCATGTTTAAGTTAATATTATTACATTTAATGAGCGTTCAATAAAGTATACAGTGGCGGATTTAAAAATTTGGTTACATCAAAAATACGTTCGACATCATACAACAAAATTCTCTTGATCTTTAAAAAAATGTCACAATGACATAATATTGATTTGAAAGATACAATTTCAATGAATTAAATCCGCCGCTAATGTCTTATTAACAGCGCTGTATTTAGATTTATTTGCATTTCTGGTATATTTTCAGAGATACGTCAACTCCGAAAAAACTCATTTATTTTGAAAATGTTAACAAATACATACTTTATAATATTATATTTCGAGTTTTTATAGAAAAAAAAATTTTAAATTTGCATCTCTCTTCAAATTGCGCCCTGGTCTAACGGCCCCACTTATCTATATACTTATAGATTAAAAGTTTTAGGTATATCTATTGAATGTATTAATTACACTAAGACATACACACGCAAAATACTGATAAATTATTAAAATTTTACTATATATTACCTGAATAACTGGTCTTGATGGTTTTAAGAATTTTTTTAAACCTCTAGGATGTTTAGGCATGCTTAATGCTGGTTTTAATGGTAAAGGAATACCAGTGGGTTTGATCGCATCAATTTCATCTGGACTACGAATTTTGATACGCTCACCGCCAAATGTTACTCTTCTAGGAGTTTTTGGAACCTCCACTTCATCATCATCATTTTCTTCTTCTTCATAAGATGACACAGAAGAATCTTGTCCTGATGATGACGATATCCTATACACTTCACATAAGACTTCAAAATCCTATAAATAATTTCAGAATAAAAATAGTTTGAAAACCTTTTTTAAAAACCTTGAAAAAATCAGATTATACAGAGTGTTCAGTAAGTTAGGAAACAGTTAAATTGTTACAAACAATGAGTACAATAGAAATTCGTTTCCTTATTTACTGAACACCTTGTATAAATTTTTTAACTATTTTGATAAAATTAAAAAAAAAAAGAATTAATGTACTTTAATTTATTAGGATTGATTGATGTCACTATAAAATTATAACATTAAGGCTAAAAAGAAAACCTGTAATGTCGAATAAAATCAAAATAATTAATTGTTATGAATTTAACTACCTTCACGTGACATTTATACGAGTATTTGACCTACTTAATGTAACACAAATCAAACAAATAATAAAAACCCTAAGAAAATCATACCTTTTTTATCACAGGGTGAAATGTTTCCAGATAATGATCAAATTTATTTCTACCAACAATTTCTTTTACTCTATCTAAACAATAAACAGCTGCTTGCTGGAATGTCGCCTGAACCATTTTATTTGACAAAGCGGTCACCAAATGAACAAATGTAGGAATTGCAATCTAAACATTTGGGGGCAAAATAATAAAAACTAACTTTAAGTTAAAAATATTAATCTAAATTATTATGACTTTCTTTTTATTACAAATGTAAACCTTTATAAATTAAGGCTATTAATTATTTAAGCCGAGTTAAAATGACAATTCTGTCTTAATGATTTGAAAAATTCATGTAAATCGTGACAATAAAATAATCAAATAAGTGTAATTTACTAGTATTATGATAATTTTATACAGATAAATATCAACTTTCTTCGTGATTGCTATACGAATCTTTAAAATATTTTGGTGCACCTAATAAAATATTTGCCAGTTACTCTAAAAATAAGTTACTGGCTAATATATAAGTTTATGTGATTGAACAGTATACGAATGAGAAATTTAATTTTTTACATGAAAAATTTATTTGTGTATAAAACAAATTTGATAATAAATGGCTAATACTTTATGCCAGTGTTTTTTCTAGTCTTGTTAATGAAACTTACCGGTCGATCACCATTTCTTTTTACAATTTGTTGCAACACTACTGGAACGCATTCCATCACATTTACAGTAAGACTAGATTTGGCGCCAGGTATATCCAAACCCTGCACGATCATTGATTTTAATACAAACTCGGGGTCTGAAGAGTACTGTACATATATTAGTAGAGCATCCATGGAACTGCTCCTGAGAGCCGGCGAAAAATGCGCCAAATTAGTAATAATCGATGGCAGTACAGTAGGTGACATCAATGCATCTAATTGTGAACCTACCGTTGGCACAATGTAAGCTAATACACGGGTACCGTGTAATCTTACCTATAGAGACATAAAAAGTTATGCTTAGTACCGTCAACCAGGGTGATTTTGATTTTTGAACTACTCCAACAGATTCATTATTAATAATCGAAGTCAATAAAAATCATACGATGTCGCACACCTCAAAGGTATAGATTGAGTAAAGTAAAAATAAAAAGTGTAACCCAAAATTGTTGGTGACATGGAACATCAGTTTTATCAAAAAACTATTGTTACACGTTAAAATTAAAAAAAATATTTGTTGTAAACTAAAGTTATTCGGAACATAATTATTTCTTACCTAAGAGAGACAATAATTAAATCTACCCCGATATGCGTAACTTATATCCACATCAATTTTAATTGCAATTCATTCTCTACCAACCTGCCATTCCGGATGTTGTAGCCTAATCACCAACTCGGAAAACACTTCCTGGCGATTGACGTTTGCTGGAAATCGATTTTTCTTAACAATGTATTGCCAAACAGGAGTAAGTTCCAAATGACAGTGACCGGAACGAAACCTTTCCGGTGTAGCAACCGGCTCAGGTGTAAGCCGAGGATCCGGCAACAATAGTGTAGTTGTTTGCATACGCCTGGCTGGTGAACAGCCCCACGTGGAAATTGTGTCCGATTCTAAAAACTGTGGCGGTGTCAATGCGCTCGGTAAGAAGTTAAGCGCTGGCTTGCATTATGTTGTATTTGAAAACTCTCCTAGCAACAGCTTATGTAAATCACTCTAAACACTTGACGCATACTACTTATTATTAACGCACCCCTAATTTCATTTTCAATAAAATAGACATTAAATACTTTCTACTAGACAGCCGATATTCTAATCTCTCAATTTTATTTCTTCACTTAGTACCACAAAAAATTCTATTAATTCAAAAGTCCTTTAATTAATAGATCATTTTTTAAAATATGAAATTATTCCATAGGTTTATTTAAAAATGCTTTTTCTCAGGTAAAAACAAAGTTATTCAATAATACTATAAATCCAATATATTATTGATATTATGTTGTACATTGGCTATGTAAAATTATGGTAAACTTTATGTGCATGATATTAAGTTAACATTTCAAATAATTATGATTTTAGTATTTACTAAAACCAATGATACTGTATTATCACGACCTATTAATAGTTAGTAGGTTCTTAAACTCTTGTATTTATATTTTTTTGCGCTCATTATTTTGGTCACACTATAAATACTCCTTGAATCAGCTCTACTTTTAATAGAAAAGTACAATTTCATTTCCTTAAATTATATTTTTAAATAATACATTTTTAATTTAATTTAATGAACATGTAATGGCTATATTTTATTTTTTAAACATTTTATATCATAAAAAATCTTTGGTATAAATAAAAATACATCAACAACTATTAAAACACAAAAAATTTACATCTTTTAATTATTATAAGTATATGTAGTAGACATATACTAGAGTACTAAGAGTACTCCTAGTAGAGGAGTACTCTTTATTTGGTCTAATTTTGAATCTCTTTAAATTTTTACATTTGAAATACTTCTAAATTAAGTTTTTATACAATAATCAACTCAATAATTTCAGCACATTTGATTAATTTAACATTTACTTGTAGGATCTATAATTTTAATGATGAATCAATAAAATAAATATAAACTTTATACGCTGAATTTTTTTAGAGAAAATAAATAAACAATAAAATTAATTTTGTCAAATAAGTTGATATTTATTAGTCTTGTTTATTGTAACATCAACTTAACATTACAAATAAATATATATTTTATGTTACTATTTACATAAAAATAAACAAAAAATTAAACAATTGCCTATACATAACACAAACTAAACTTTTAAACTCAATGTGAAGCTGAGATTTTTTGTTTAATATTAACAACAGAAGTGCAAAAAATGGGCTTGGAATAACTTAATCTCTTTAAAATTTGAAAAAATGTTGTACAAATTTTCTGTAGTATCATACAGTAGCATAAAAAATTTTTTTGTTATAAGGAGAATAAACCCCCTAACAACCTTCAAAAAAAAAAACTGTAACCTTGGATACAACAAATTACTATGTTTCCAATTCAATCAATAAAAATTTATACTGGTTGAAAATGTGTTCAGAATAACTAAAAATATAAATTTATATAATTCTAGACCCTTTTAATAAATAATACAAATTTTCTTAATCACTTACAAAATAATACTGTTATTTAGTTTGTGTAAAATTTTTTTAAATAAAAATAGTCTACAATATCAAAAAATAAATAATTGTATGGGTAACAATTGTAGTAACTAATAAGTATTGTATAGTATAAAGTTATACATCATAAAATATGAAAACTTTTTAATAATTTAATTATTGACTAGTTAATAAAAAATGTTTTTTTTAATAAATCAATATTATGATAAAAGTACCTATAATATATTCAGACATCAATATGCAAAAAATACTAATTTAATTTTTTTTTTATATATAGAAACATACTAAATACAAGACGTAATAACTTGATAAAATTAAATACAGAACATTAGAATATAATAGGAATAAAATTTAAAAAAAAAACAATAATTATGTCCACTCTATTTATGTTAACATTATTTTTTTCCTAAAAAATTTAGTTTTCAGAACTTTTTTATTTTTTTAAAGTTATTTTCTGATTGTATAATTTCATTTGTCACACATTGTTAGAATACTTTATAGAACTTTCTTTAGATTTTTCATCAGTTTTAGTCACAGGATGTTTAGCATAAATTATAACAGAGCCAGATACTATACATACACCAACTATTGTTTGAAGAGTTACTTGATATCCTAATATTATCCACGACAATAAAGCAATAAGAATTAACTCAATAGCAGTTGCAAATACTTTCATAATTGAGTTTAAACAGCATAAAAGTAAACTGGTAACTATACCATAAATAGCACTATTAATCACAATAGACATTGCCTAAAAAACAATAAAAATTAATCATTTAGTTAGAAGAAAAAAAAAGGTGTATTGGGGTAATTGTAAATGAATGAAATAATTGTAAATACATTTATTTAGATAAATGCACAAGTTTTTATTTCAAACTTACATTTACTATAATAGCAAGACATATAAGAACCAGAACTTTTTAATATAAAATAAAATCTGCTAAATATTCTAATAGAAAAAATAATTTACAGTTACCCCATTCATTTATATTTACCTTACTTCATCATAATTTTATGTTACAAACCCAAAAATTTGTTAGAATATCCAATTGCATTGGATTAGAATCTGTTTGATGTGAAACTGATAACCACAATATAAAATTACACAACATGGAATCTGCATACATAAAAATGTTTTGTACATATACATTAACCTCACTTCCATGACCATTTTTGAGCAAATATTCATTATAAACACCAGCAAGACAAGAACAAAATATTTGGGCTGACATTAAAAGAATACCATTTATAATACTAAAAGATCGAAGTTCACTAGCTTCATCTATTTTTAGTTCTTTAACAATACAACCAAAAGTTAAGAGAAGTAATGAAAACCACTGAATTTTACTGAGTCTTTTTTTAAATAAACATTGGTAAATCACACCAATCAATATGACACGTAGTTGAAGAAGAATGAAGTATGTTGTAGGATCAAATATTGAAAGATTTACAAATGCCAAATTGTTATAAAAACAGTACAATAATGCTGGTATCATATACAAAAATAACACTGTAACATATATTTAAAATTATAAAGTAATAATTTTATTGAAATAAATAAAGTTTCAAATAATTCAATATGACAATCAAGTTGATTCTTCAACTTTTTAACGATATTTTCAAATTTAAAACTTAACTTTTCTTAAATTAAAAAAAACTTCTTTAACTTACTTATTTTATTTTCTTTAATTTGGTCAATTATATTTTTCAAAGGATTACTATAAATAAAAAAATTTAAGTTTGATTAAATGTTATTAAAATTTGTATGCAGTATTCTATATCACAGCAAAGCAAACATAAACACAATACTTTAGAAATTATTGATCAAACAAAAAATATAGATACAAAAAAAGAAAAGAACAGATTATAATTTAGCTTTTTATTACACCTAAAGAAGGGACAATATGGCTGAATCTATAACATGGTAGTTTTTGGTGTACATTGTCATGGATTCAAATCTCAGTTACAGGCAATTCTATTTACTTTGCAAAAATTAATTCAGTAATTGGAATCCCCATCCCTCTCTCAGGGTACAAACTAACTATTAATCCGTTCCAGAGAATAAACAATTACGAAATATCTTTTTATAAGAAGCTGACATAACTTTTGATGGACTGTAGAAGGAGAAAAGACTTTTTTAGAAGCTCATTTATTTCATTAAGGAACTACCAAGAAAATTATTTAACCTATGAGCCTTATAATATTTGACATCAAATATTTTTGTGCAATTTCTGTACCCAATTTTATTTTATAATCTTTTTATAAACAACTATTTAAAAGCTTTAATGCTAATAACAAAGCATTTTGAATTAATATTTCAATATTAAATAATGTAGCACAAGTACACTTACTCTTTCCAAAACAGTATAAGTGATATCACAAGTTTACATAGCTCAGTCAATAATACTGCAGAAATTACATTATAATTATAGGACCCTGTGCCTGTGTTCTGTGATATTTTTACTAACAAACCTAAAAAGAAACATATTAACAATTTCAGTTGATGTCAGTTAGAAAAAAAAATACATAATATAATGATTTATGTATGTTACCATGATTAATTGATAGAAATATATATAAGATAAATATGAGCAATGATTTTTTGGTTGGAAATAAATTTGTCCAACCACCAGGTTCCTGATCTAACATAGTGTTAATTTAAAAATCAAAAATCATTTTTCATTTAAATCTTTGGTTATGCAAATTTTATTTCATTTTTTAGTGCTAAAAGAAATATCACGTACGAATTGACTACATTTTGACTACCTAAATATTAAAAATTTAATTTATCAGTTATTGCTATTTGCTACCGGAAGAGTTAGTGATAACATTACTTTATAGCTCATTATATCGATAACATTGTTACCGTTATCGCAAATATTATGCTATAAAAAGTTTATATTTTAAGCGCACCGAATTTAAATTTTATTAGAGAATGTCATAAACTTTGAATAAAAACTAAGATTAAATATTGCCCAACAGGGCCGTATTTAGGAGTGGCTAGAAGGAGCAATAACTCTTAAAAATTCTAAGATGCAAATATTAAAGAGTAAAACCAACAAATAATGTCAGATTACATAATTTTAATTTTAATATAAGTAATTATGATTTATATAATATTTTACGTTCTTTATTTTAATTGACTATCATGATAAGTTCAATAAAAGCTTGGTGATGAGATAGTTGACCTTTTTTTTGCTCATCAATATTAATTAAAAGATCGTTTCAAAAACATTTCGGGGTGCCAAAATTCCTGTTGGTGTTCGGATCGTTTATCCATAAAAAAGTTATTGAAAACTATGTTTTTTTTATTAAAATAATTTCTAACATCAAGAAAAACACTTGAACTAAAAATTTTGAAAACATTTTTAACTTTACTTTTGTATTAAAATCTTTCAAGATGTATGACTATTTAAAACACATTAAGAATTTTGTTTTATTTAAATATAATTTAATTTTCTTTTTAAGCTATGTATAATAAAATAATGTAATTACAACGATTGTACCAATATCAAAAATGTAAATATCTACTTATGTTGCAACAAAAATCATTCATCATGATGAATGATTTTTTTTTAAATACCCATTAATATTATATTATGTTGAACACAATAGTTAAAAATGAATTTATTATTTTATATTGTTTAAAAACAATGTACAAAAACTGTTCAACTTAAAATTTACGAGTCGTTTTTGCTATTTAGCTAATTAAAAATTTAATTGTAATTATCTTGTATAAATTATAATAAATTTTTACATTATATATATTAGTCATTTATGTAACTAGAATAAAATATTTAAAGGCGTTTATTGTATTTTCTCTCACAAAAAAATATTATATGCAACAACATATAAAATTTTCAAAATTTCTTTTTTAGCTTCGATGCGAAGCTGAGAGGGTATTGGTTTTACTATGTTTTTTTTTTTTTTGTCTGTTACCACTTTTTCTCAGCTCTCACCGAACCGATTTCTTTCAATGATACGTCAAAATATCACAAATCGTATCTAGTCGAAGACATTACCCTTAAAAATTGAAATAACTTTTTAAAAAATAACCAAATCAATATAATTTTTTTATATATCGATGCATGATATTATTACCTTTCATTTGGTATACTTTTTTTTATAAATCTGACTCTTTACCTGCTTATAGGGGGGGATTCAAAATGACAACTTTTTCAATTTAACTTTTGAAAGTCTAACACTTTTATATACATCTTAGATTAAACTTTATTTTGTCTTCACGGTGAAAATGGCTACCAAATGCATTTTTTGTGTGAAAATTCTCGATTTTATTTTTTACATGAGAAATAATATTTATATCCCTTTTTCATTCGACGTACTTTATCTTTAATCGGGGTATTAATAAGAAAATAGCAGATCATGTAGCTTTTGGAATAATCCACCAATTTTTTAAAATTAAACACTATCTAAAGATTTGCATCGAAGNATTTTTTAAAATTAAACACTATCTAAAGATTTGTATCGAAGGGTTCTTTTTAAAGTGATTGTAATCACTGTTAGATATAATTATACTTGATCCAACTATGCCACGTTACCACTGTGCTGGTTTTTTTTTTTTTTGGTTATTTCATCAACTGGGGATTAAGTTTCCTCTAGCACCCTAGTTGTACCTAAGTATCAGCGAATGAACTTTTATATATATTGTTTATAATCGAGTAAAACCAGAATAGCAAAAAAATAATTCGTTGTACCATAAGGGAATTTTTATTGAAAAATTTTTTTCGAAGAAATTTTGGCTGATGAAAGTTTACAGAATAGTACATGACTTCAATATCTAATAATTATTCGAACTGAATTATTTTTCCATAGTTTCAATATTTTTCAAGAAATTTTAAAACAAAAAATTTTAACTATGAACGCAGCAAGTAGCTAATTATTTTAAAACTAACTTCAATCGACGAAGACATTAAAAATATTATGGAAAAATTATGAATCATATCTTTGATTTTCAATGAAGTAAATTCATAAAAATGTTTGTTATAACCAAAACCAAATATCAAAATTAACAATAATTTTTTAGTGCATTAAAAAATAATAAATCAACCATGTTTCCAGGCAAAAATACGAGTAATAAAAGACAATCTATTTTAGGGTATTTTGCTGAAAGTACTTTTACACCAACTGAGACCAATCATGAAATAAATATATATATATATATTTGAGAAGAATTACGACCACTATGATTAAAAACTATGTATTCAGGTCAAACGCTTACAAAATTAATAACATGGTTTTGAAATAATAGAAAAAAAAAATACAAATACAAAATCTTATTTTGGCCGAGGGAGTTAGTATAGAGGCATGGTATATGATCCTATTAAAGGTTTTGTATGGTCACCATCCAGAAACTAACAGCAAACAGCAAAACTGTACATTAGTTCGAAAGCAGCGACTGAATGATCCACGTGTCATATCACTCCTCTTTTCCCTTTTTTCAATATCCAATAATAATTGGTCAAACCCATTAGTATAGTATGAGGGAGGGCTTAAGCGTCCACAAAATCATTTTTAGTGGCCAAAAATACTCAATTTTAAGGAGGGTAAGAATATGAGACAAAACAATTTAGTAAAAAATTTCCCCTATAGAGTTAAAGTTTTTAAATTAAGTATTTGGTCAGAATTTATAATTGAAATAAATTTAATAATAATTTTGGTCAAATAAATCACATTGTAAAATGCTTTACTCATATTCAACTGTAGACACATTAAAATACATGTTGCACGCTTATCAAAAAATTAGATGATTAATAACTCATTTTACTTAAAGATAAATGCACAGACTATGTATAGTCATATAGTCTGTGATAAATGTAAGCTATATGTTATTATTCATACAACTTAGACGTAGAGTCGATGTATTTTGTGAATAGTAATATAATCATATGACATGCAATCGTTTTTCAAACACTTGTGGTTTAATTACGTCGNATTCATACAACTTAGTCATAGAGTCGATGTATTTTGTGAATAGTAATATAATCATATGACATGCAATCGTTTTTCAAACACTTGTGGTTTAATTACGTCGCTAATTTTATTATTTACGTTAGGTAGCCGCACCTACGTAATTAGACTCACAGTTTTTAACATAACGTTGATTATGATGGTAATCAACGGGATTGGCTTCCAATCGCTTAAAATTCTGTAATGGACAATCTAGACCACTTTTATTTTATTTCAATAATTAAAAGTTGTAACTAAATTATGCAGTCATCTGATTTTAATCGTTTGTGTGATAACACTTATTCCAAAAAACACTCAGCTTTACATTTAAAAAAAAATAACAGAGGTGCTTTTGCTGTCGTAATTTTATCGGGCATTATAATAGTTATTTTCGCTATTTATTATTCAATATGGGGCCAAGAATCAAGGAAAAAAAATTCTTTAGAACTTGTTATAATTGTAAGTTTTATAAATATAGAATACTAATGTAAGTGTATTTATAATTATTTACTTTTTTAAGATTTGTAGGCAGGGAGATCGAAGTCCATTACAATGGGAAACATATCCAAATGATTTGTATCCACCATTAGGGGAAGGAATCTGGCCTGATGGTCTTGGACAACTTACAAGTGTAATTATTATAAGTTAACTTAATTAAATAATTTAGCCATTATTCAAGTTTAAATGATTTAGTTTTTGTTTTTTATACAATATCTAATCACTATAAAGGTTTTAATCATTCATTTTAGATTTTACCTTATTTTTAATTGCGAAAATACAACTTTATAGATGTATATACAAAAACTAAAAATATAACATGTAATAAATATAAATATAAAAACTTATACTAGATGATTAATGACTATAATGTTTTTTTTTACTTTTCAGGCAGGAAAAATTAGATCTTATGAATTTGGCCAACGCTTTAAGAAGCGTTATTCTAAATTTCTTCCAGCTGCCTTCAATAGTAGTTATATTTTAGTTCAAACCACAGACACTGATCGTACATCAATGACAGCTTCAACATTTTTAACTGGTGCTTTTCCTCCTATTGGAAAACAAATTTGGAATAAAGATATACATTGGATACCAATACCAGTTCATTCTATATCATCTGAAAAGGACAATGTAGCTATTATAATTTATTTAAGTATTATTATGCTTAATTTTAACAAATATATTTTTTTGTTACTCATTTTATAGTTATTAAGAATAACTAAATCATGCCCTAAGTATGATTTAGAATTTGAAAAAGCTAAGAACAGTACTGAAATAGAAATGTTTAAAAAGCATGAAGTCTTTTTAAAATATTTATCTAGTCACTCTGGTATGGAAATTAAACATCTTACAGATGTTGAAAATATTTACAACTCTTTAAATATACAAGTAAGTTATATTAATTTATTAGTTAATTGGTGTATCATTGATATGTAATATTTGTCTTCCCCAGCAAAGAAATCATATGACTTTACCATCATGGGCAAAAATTATAAATTGTATGAGTAAAATGGAAGAAATAGTTTTAGAATGGTATAAAACTCATTCTAAAACAGAATTTATGAAAAAAATTAGATCTGGTAAACTTATAGGAGAAATAGTGAGAAATATGCGTGACAAAATGGATGGTAGGTTGAATCCTAATAGAAAAATGTTTGCTTACTTTAGCCATGAGTTGACATTAATTGATTTTTTCAATACTTTGGGCATGAAAAATTCTTTTAAACCTGGTTATGGGGCAGCAGCTATTGTAGAGCTTCATAAAATAAAAAAAGAATACTATGTCAAGGTAATTTTTATGTCAAATATTTTATATATATATTTTTTTTAAGTATTGAAATAACTTTTTTTAGTTGTTGTATTCAAAAAGTTATGACAGTCCAGATTTCTTATCCTTAGAGACAGAAAGTCAAACTAATTTTTTACCAACTTTAGAAGAATTTAATGTCGCCACTGTAAATTATGTACCAGAAAATTGGGATAAGGATTGTCAACATTAGTCACTAATTTAAAAATTTAGTTAAAAATAATGTATACCATTAATAATTATTTATTCGTTAATAATCTATTGACAAACTAATAAAATTCTTAGTTTAATTTTTAATTATTATAGATGATTATGTTACTATTTTTCCCATTATGTATTTTGTAAATATTATTTAATATATTATTATTTTAACTTACAACTGTAATTATTTTTTAATTATGATTCATAACTGTAGACAGAGTTTAATTAAAATGTTTAGGTAGCCTAAATTAAAATTTCCCCCTTACCTAAAAGTATTTCCAAGAGAACTTGAATTGATATCACTCTTTATGTTAAAAATACTCTAATCTATACATGATTTGACTGAATGACATTTATTTAGTGGAGAAGGCTAAATTTGCATCGTACAGACTAGCTTTAGATATAATCACTAAGAAAATTATTAATCATAGTTGCAGAGCACTGCTTTCTAAAGAAATGTAGATAGTCAGCAGAGGATTGACAGAAAAATTAATGAGATTGGCCCACATTAGTAGAAAAGTGCACCTTCAGTTTTCATGAATTATTTTATTTTATAATTGAGTTTATAATAATCGTCAATTATTGTAAGTTTATCAATTAAATGATGACAACAGTAATCCCAAGCTATTTCCACAGATAAGGTATAGCTTTATCTTACCTTATGCTGTTACAACAACCTGATAACTACTTTTTTTAAACTTATAATATATATATATATATCGGCAAAAAATACTTTACGTAGAGGTCCAGCACAAATAAATTCCACATGTTAGTATTAAGTTATAACAAAAATGGCAAGTTTTTTTTTTCTGTGTTTAAATGTAACATTATTTAGTTTTTTATTTCTCCAAAAAATTTTTAAGAGTTAAGTTATTATTAGGTTAAAACAGCAGGACCTTCAATACATTAAAATGTATATATCTATTATTTTCCAAGATAATACGACTTGGAGTAAAAATAGTTCAGCTGATTCTCATTTCTGAAATACTTTTGATAAATTCTTACTTAATATTGTTCTGTAATATCCCATTTTGTTTAATACAGTTTCTGGTAAATATTGTCCCAGTTCGTTTAAATACCCAAGCGATAACCACAAATAAAATTACAAAAACACCGATGGATTAATGAATATAATGATATGATATGATATGATGGATATAATGAATTAAGGGAAAGGATAGATATTTCTCAGAGAAAAAATATTTACTAATAAGTTTTTTTTTTCTTATAAAGGGGATAGTAAAAATTTTTAATATTATTTTCCTAGAATTAAACCCTAATTATGCCACTGAAAATTCTGATTTGTTACCGAGGATTTTCGAGTTTCTCAATGGTCCGATCCACTTAAAATTACTTTTCTTTGTATAGTCAGAACTTAAAATCTAGAAAATACAATTCTAAAATTATTCTAGTATAACCTGTCATTAAAATTTTATCTCGTAATTTTTTGTATTCAATATTTTTACATATGATACCTAAAAAATGTATTTCTTTAGAAAATTAAAAGTTAACATGAATTTTTGAAACGAAATATGATCAATCATAAATTATGTTTTTACAGAACTACAATCTTTATCATGCATTTAACAAAAACAATATATGGTTGTTTTTACTGAATACATAGCAATAATGCGTAAAAAATATTTGTTATCTTTAAAAATGGTCTTTGATTTAGTCGTTAGTTACATATTCCTACTTAATCAGTTTAAACTAAGCTCTTCAATATAGGAATGTTTTAAATCAATATAATATAATGGTCTAATTTAAGTTTTTTAACAGTGTCACACACAAAGTAGATCATTTTTTTTTAATTTTAATTATTAGTAAAATTTTGTATGTCATGTGTAATTTAAGCAAAAAATACATTTATATCATATTGTTAGTCGTGACGGGCTACTTATGTAAGACACCATCATCAAATAAGCTTAAATTCGTTTTTATTGTGAGTATATAAATTTAGACAAAATTTAAAATGCAAATAAAACTTTTATTTTATGCTATTACTTTCGAATTTATATAATATATAATTTAGATCCACATTATAAGAGCTGAAATAAGATTCGTAATCTCAAAGATATTTTATGATAATAAAATATGTGTTTAAATATTGTTTTAATCAGTGCTCGAAATGGAACATTTTTTTGTAATACATACTATATATTAATGTATTTTTTTTACAAGCCGGAACCCTAAAAAATTTTTGTCGTGAACCGGAACTACGTTCCGGTTCATTTCGAGCCCTGGTTTTAATGAAAAAATTGACAACGTTTAATATTATCTTAGTGATTTTTATATTTGTAGATATATGATTGAATTTAATTATATTAATGATAAAATACTTCTGTAATTGCTTATTTGACTTCCGTTAATTTTTTTGATGATATCTCCAATTATAATGTATTAAGAACAGGTTTGTATTCAAAAAGGACAAGAGCCTCGATGACTTAAGAAAATTACATTTTAGAAGACCATGGTTAAATCTTAGCACTGAACGACAAATTTCTCGAGTTACCCTAGTAAATGGACTTACTTAACTCTATGTATTTCTTAATGCCAATAAAGAATAATGCTTTTCTATCAATTTGCAAATAATTTTACGATTTACTGTGAACATAAAAACATAGTAGCATATAAACAGAATGTATTTAAATAACTTTGGTACTATTTAATAAATAAAATCGGGGCCTAATTATGACCTCTATAATGTGCTCCGGGATGGTACTTTGAGAGTGGCTCCCAAATAGAAAATAATAAAATATTATTAGTGTATTTCTAATTTTTATGAAAAATAAATGCTTTAATCCTTCATAAAATTTAAAATATTTAAATTAATTTTGTTAACAAGCTAATGCGAAGTGTAAATCGGGCACCTTTAAATTACTATGAAAATATCTCAAGTAACATTGAAAATTGGCCAAACGGTTTAGGAGAATTAACAAATGAAGGTATAATAAATGCGTATCGAGCAGGCAAACTCCTTAGAGAGAGGTATCGACATTTTTTGAATCCTTCCGAAAGATACAGTCCAAGTGAAATTGATGTATCTTCATCCGAAGTGGATCGGTGTTACCAAACAGCAGGTTATCTGTTAGCAGGCATGTATCCACCTGACGAACAACAAGTTTGGAACCCAGAACTGTTATGGCAACCTGTACCTATTAAAACAAGTCTTTCCAAGGATTACCATATGGTAAAATTAAAACTAAGATATTTATAGAAATAACTAAAAACTAAAAAGGGTCATAGCCATTGTTCTTTGATTATTTTCCCTAATTTTTTTTTTAATGTGATAATAAATATTTTAATTAAAATAAGAAATTGTAGTATTTTGTTCCTTACCAAATATAATTAGCATTACTCGACATTTTTAATCAAATAAAGTACACCAAATAAATAAATAAATACTGTTAGAATAATCATATATAATTAGTGACAACTGCAATTAAGACAGTTGAAATTACTAAATATTCGCTTTACTCAACTATTTATTGAGTTAATTCAACAATTTTATTAAAGTTGTTACTATCTATCTACATGTATTATAAACTATCTGATAGGTCCTATGGTAATTCGGACATTTAATTTTATTATAATTTATAATTTATGTCTTCTTTTTCTTCGCTTTTATCCCAATTACTTGTGGTCGGCCATAATTTATAACTTATGTATTATATAGNACAAACTATCTGATAGGTCCTATGGTAATTCGGACATTTAATTTTATTATAATTTATGTCTTCTTTTTCTTCGCTTTTATCCCAATTACTTGTGGTCGGCCATAATTTATAACTTATGTATTATATAGTAACTATTAAAATATATATCGAGTAATGATTTTTATAATAAAGTTAATACTAACTAAATAAATCGACGAAGTTAACTAAATTCAAATCTTAATTCTAACAAAACGATCAGTCAGTCCAGATATAAAAATTAGTTAATTTTAATAATTTTTATAGTTTAGAGTCAACTATACGAATTTATTTCTTCCAACTTATTTTGCCATTATGTTAGCCGTGTTTTACAATTGGAGTAGCTATTTAAATGGTTGTACCAATTATATTTTTCTCCTTGCAACATTTAAAGATTAGGTAAAAACTGTACAGTTTTGTTTATATTATACTTTCATAATTTTAAGTTTGGTGATAATGCACTGTATTGTCCTAAATATTGGATTGAATTACATGAAGCTTCCGAGGATTTCATTAAAACTGAGAAGATTAAGAACTTTATAAACTATTTGCGAAATAATACATTCAAAACATTGAAAACTATAAATGATGCGTTGGCAATATGTGATGTTATTTGGACTGATGTAAATAAAACTTAATATTATATTAATTAAAATACTAATACTGATTTAAATAATAAAATTAGTATTTATTTTTATTTAATTTACCTCAAAATATATTATTGAAATGTCATGACACCTCTAAGAAGAATTTTACTCAATTCATTTAATTCTAAATTTGAGTTGCCATCGCAAAATGAGACATACCCAATTTTTTTTTTTAATTTAACTTCTTTCTATCAAGTTGTAAGCTAATTTGACTAGAAAAAGCAAAATTACAAAAAAAATTTTTTGGACTTGCATTCTTTTGCATTTAGCTACTTATTTTATTTTCAATAGATAAAAGATAAATATTGCTACCCAAAAATCAATTATTGTACTATGTTGATGAAAATAAATTTTAGGCCTCTAAATTTTTAACTCTAATACCCTGCAATCTCAAAATTGCTCAGAATTTTAAATTATTAGGGGTGTCAATTTATTAATACAAAAAGAAGATTAAGAGTTTTTATTTAATACAGTACATGTCAAAAAATTCAATTCCAGATTGGGCATTAAAGCGGTTTGATGATATTGAAAAATTTATGTTACATAGCATGTTAATTTTAAATAGTAATTCTGATCAAATGAAACGATTATTCTCTGGTAATATAAGAAATGTTTAAATTTACCATATTAATAAATAAAATATACACTAATAAAATAAAATATTAATATTAATTAAAATCTGTTATTATTTTTTATTAGGAGATTTAGTGGGTGATATTATTAATCGTATGGAAGCAATTATAAATAAATCACTAAATGCAAAAAAAATGTATTTACATGTTGGTCATGATTCAACTATAGTGCCTTTTTTTAATACATTAAATGTATCTGAAATTGAATATCCCCAATTTGGGGCTACAGTTCTCATAGAATTGTATTTAACTCCTTTAAATAAAACTTTAATCAAGGTAATAAAAATCAAATTAACACAAAAATAGTAGTAATATTCATATTTAATTAAAATTTTAGTTATTATACAACAAAAACTATGAATGGAAAGAATCAAACATTAAATTAATTGAATTACCTGGTTGTCCTTTGCCATGTGGACTAGAAAATTGGCGCACACTCACGCAAAAATTTATACCACAAAACTTAAATGAAGAATGTAAAAACTCTTAAATAAAAAAAGGGAAAAATGACATATTAGTTTAATTAATTAAATTACATTTTTTAAATAAGAAAATTTCAGTCTGTCTTTGAAATAGCTTCCAAACGTTCTAAAAGCTGAGGATGAGTATGATGCCAAGACGAATATAAAGAATCATACACAGGGAAACCTAAATTATCATTATTCAATCTAATTAACCCACTTTCTAATGGTTTTGCTTTACCAAGCTTTTTGGCAAATGCATCTGCTTGAAATTCTAATTTTCTACTTAAAGTAGTCATGGCAAAAGATATAACAGTGTTGTATGGAGAAAATACATATTGGAATATAATTGCTAATCCAATTATAACTGGATGAGTAGTTTCATAAAACCCAAATGCTCGATACAACATAGAATGATCATACAACCACCCAAAAACAAAAAGCATGACAAATAAATTCACCTAAAATATATTTTAATTATTAAAAAACAAACATAAATATTTAAAAAAGTATAATTAAATTAAATACCTGTGAAATTATTATATAGCACAAAATGTGATTTAATTTCCAATGGCCAAGTTCATGACCTAAAACAGCCAAGATTTCTTCATCATTCATTCCCTTTCCTTTGTCTTTCTTAGAATCACTATCCTCTGTAGGTGTAGTTTTGCTTTCATTATCCTCTTTTTTTTCAGAAAGTTCTTCATCATTTTTCAAAAGTGTGTCATAAAGCACGATTCGTTTGCTATTGAAGAATCCGTAAAAATATGCATTACTGTGAGCTGATCGTTTAGATCCTAAAAAATTTAATTGACTTTGTAACTACTAATTTGCTGTTGCTAAGAACCTGAATAACTTATTATTTCTAAACAATACTAATTTTATAGATAATAATCAAATAATTTTAATCATTAATTAAAAAAGAATGTTTTATAGTAAGCTTGCAACTTAATTCTTCTTGAATTATTTAAACTTGAACATATAAAACTCAGTTTCTTTTAAGTATATAATTAATAGTTAATTAATTAGAGGGACGTGGGGACAACAGGTGAGAGGGAATAAAGTAGTTAAAAACGGAGAAAGCCTAAGCAATAAAGTGTTTGATACCACCTGGACAACTCGGGCGGTAGCTGTTTCATCAGTCATGTGTACAACAGGTCTATCTAATGCTTGTAGTGTCAACGGAGTAGGGACATCACTAATTAACTCTAGGCTGGACTCGTGTATATGGGAAAAAGATAGATACAAAGTAAAATGGCCAACCCCAAATAGTTGGGATTAAGGCGAGGAAGAAGAAGAATTAGAGATGGAGTGACTGAGTCGGTAATGTGGCAGTGTCTAATGCACATAGCTTTGGGTTTGATGTTCAGTCACAGTTTACTTGTTTGCTGAGCATCTTGCTCAGTAATTGGAGTTGTCATCACTTTTTTTATACTAACCTCCTGTCAAGGAATATAAATTTTTAAGAAACCTCCTCTTAGGGAAGGTTATAATAACTTTTAATAACTCGTAAAAAGTGAAAAGAAATAGAAGTAAAAATCTTAATAATAGGTATGCATTTCAGTTGACCAGTTTCAAAAAAACATTGCTATCTTCAATGAAAATAGTTACTACATATTTTTCACTATTCTGATTATCAAATATTCTTTTTTAAATTCATGTTAAATAACAGTATGTTTTTTTTACCAATTGAATCACAAATCATAAAACAAAACAAATAGTTAAACAGAAAAGACATATCATTTAAAACTTTAAATGGCTCTCCTGAATAATTGTAAAGATGTTAGTTACGAATGTATTGTAAGAGGAGGCAGTATACCGAAAAATAATTCTTTCTAAGTTAATTAACATAAACTTTTGGATATTTGTATTTTTATATCTGGAATACAAACTTATTGAAACATTTAATTCTAATATTATAATTTAGTATTACCTTCAACTATATAAATTTTATAAAGTGGAAAGTTAACTTGTTTAGCAAGTTCTTCTATTTTAGTTTTTAAAGGTCCATCAGTTAGAGCTGTATATTTGTCAAATAATGGAGCTATAAATTCTGGATATATAGTCATAATAAAAAGAGAAGTGACTACAGCAAATACCCATAGCCAGATAAAGAAGTAACGACCACCCCATTTTACAATAGTAATAGCAGCTGCAGTTATTGGCAATGCAATAACTTGGATCAATAAAAAGTTTTTGATTTTATCCTTGATGAAAAAACTTGCTGTCTAGAAATATTTAGAAAAAACAATAAATAAATAATTAATTATTTCAAATATTACATAAAATATTATTATATACTTGTTTATTAAAACCATGCTTTTCTTCAATAACAAATGTGTTGTAGATAGAAATAGGAAATGAAATTAATGTGCCCATAGTATTCATGAATAAAAGAAAAATACAACTGATCATTATTTCACTATCTTCATATTTTGTACTTGCCAAACAACTTTTGCTTAGATTCCATATTAAAGTAAATCCATTAAAACAAATAAATCCCTGATAATAAAGAAAACAAAAATTTTAAATGGTTGTAATTTATTGAACAAAAAATTATGCTTACAGTAGATATTATCATATTAAACCATTCTTCATAAATATTAAAAGTATTTTTATCAAGTCCATAAGATTTTGCTTTATTAAATGTTTCTACATCTAACACATTTACCAACTTTTCTGGAATACTATTGGTTGTTTTATACACTCGTCTCTGAAATTATATTACAATGTAAATTTGTAAAACATTACACAATAAATATAAGCGTTGATAATTATATATAAATTAAAATATTAATAACCAAAAATTTAAGAAAGTTATTATAACATAAGTGTTGAACAGTTTCAAACTTTTGGTTTTAATATTATATGAAATTGTCAACTGTAAATGATTGTTGAAGTACACAATTATAATAAAAGAAATGTTAAATTTTTTTTTTACCAAATTATGAATTGAAATTGAGTTAAATATGATACTAAAATTAACAAATGAATTACTGTCTAGTTTAATTTTTAAGACAAAATGATCATTAAGTTACAAGAATAAGAACCAGGAATTGGTACCATAGTAATTTTAACAAATTATTATGACAAAAACAATATAGAGATAACAAAATTTATATATATTATGCAAATCCAAGCATAGTAATAGATTATCAGACAAAAATTGTTAACATAAATTTTGATTATTAACAATACAGTACTTGTCTCCATATTAACTCATTATATTACCTGTCTTAGTGTTAAATATTGTTCCCACAGAAACTCGATCCATGAAAATGTTAGCACACCATAAAAAACACAAAATTCTGGTATCATTTTAAATGTTTTTTTAATCGTTCTTAATTATGTTTTTGATTACTTATAAAAATGTATACATTAATTAAATACCACAATTCGTATTCATAATTTTTAGTAATTTTATTTACTATTACAACTCTATCAGTTTACAGTTAATTTATGCTATTAATGGTAAAATTACATGTATATTAACGGATTATTAGCAATTATATTTGACATAAAATGAGTAGATGCAAAATAATATGTTTGATGATAAGAATTTTATTAAAAAATTGTTTAATTATCATATAAAAGCTAAATTTTACAAAGATAATTGCTAGCCACCGGCACAAATCATTAAATTTAAAGAGAGACAACAACAACTACCTAACGAATCAAACTCGAACGACATTTTCTCTGAAGGTTACTAAATAGTAACCGAAGTGGTATTAACCATACCACATAAATGGCAATATTCGACAAACGAACACGTATATTTCAAAGGAGTACGTGTTTGTAAAGATTCATGAGAACTCAATTTTGGGTTATTGATATATTTAAAGGATTAGAAATTACTTATTACTAATTAATTAAAATTGATTTAGTTAAAAAACTTCGAGAATTCCTGTGTTAATATAAATGGTCATTAGAAAGATTTTTATAGCTAAAAAGTAACAAAATATTTTTCTTAAAATTTGAAGGTACCTAATGCGTTTTTAGGAGGTGTAGCCTCCTGAAATCTTTATGTCCGTATATAGATGACCTCTAATAATAGAGTGCAGTTTTTTTTTATTACATGTCCAATATTATTGAGGACCGCCCTAAAATTACCGTTAGGTTTACAAAAATGAAAAAATATTGTCATAGTTTGTCAAAGACAACTGTTTTATAAAAAAATATTTGCGAAGTTAATATTTTTCATTTATTAGTTAAATGCAATTTATCTTAGCCTGTGGTCTGAAATTAGTCATTTTTAATTTATTATGTTAAAATTTTTTAATTTAAATTAAGAAGATTTCTGAAAAAGGCTCTCAAAAACTTAGGTAAAATTGTTGTCGTCCAATTTAATATAAATCCGTAACTAGCTGCCTTTATTGGAATTCAGACAAATATCCTCTTGCTTATTTTTTCACAAATGGGTACTTTAAATGTTATTTGTTATTTACATAGAATACTTCAATATTAAAACAATTGTTAAAGTTGTTTAATTTACAGACACATTGAAATCAGATAAATTAGATAGAACCGTATATAAAAGAGACATAAAAACGAGCTTCAGGCAAATAACAGAAACATAATAACTGGGTCACTATGTTCAAAAATACAAAAACTAATACATTCATTTTTTCTCTTTAAATTTATCTGTAATATTTAAATGTAAAACATCATACTGATAATATTTTTATACCTCATTTGTAAGTATCATTAATAATTATTGCAATAAACTTTTGCATTAAAATGAGTGTATAAACATATTTTATATCAATACCGATTTATTTATATATTCTGTTTCGTAAATTTTTTAATGATATATAGGTAAACTTTTTCAATATACATTGATGCAATAAATTACAAACTGTGCTTTGAACACTAATATTTAAATATAAATAATCTACTTCCCTCAATTACATATATACATATAAAATTTGCCACGAAAGATATTAAATATCTCTCGATATAGAGAATTTTAATTTATCTCCCTCCTTCTAAAAACATCATCAACTAATTTTATCATATAATAAAACAAATAAATACTTCTAAATTAAATTTTTTTATCTAATTGTAATTAACGTTTGATCGAGATTAATATTTTTTTTTTATTATGTAAGATCTTATTTAAAATCTCTGTATATTGATCTAATTGGGAGTCTATAAAAACTGAAAAAATAGTTAGTTATAACACATAATTCTTTTTAAAAAATAATTCAATTTTTAAAAATATAGAGGCATTAAAAAATAAGGTTTCTAAAGTATTTTAATACAATAATATATTATATTTTCTTTTTTATACAATAATCCATGATCTTTCAAAAATAAGAAAAATATATGGCATGATTTTATGTTTATTTATCTTTCAAAAATGAATTTATTTTTATAAAAACTAATGGAAATTAAAGCCACATGACAAAGTCACGTATTAAACACAATTTGAATTTTTATTTGTGAAATACATATTTACAATATAACACACTTATAAAAGTTTTTGGAATAAATAATTTTTATTATTTCTTGAGTTAATATAGTATTAAAAAACCAATTTGTGAACTTAATGTTAGCTATAAAAAAATTGTGTATTCTTCCCTTTCTAATAAATCATTTTGAAAAAACGAGATAGGCTGTTTTGCTATGGAAACAACAATATGCAATAATGATTATTATAATTTTTCAATAATTTGACGACGTATAAAAAAAATTATTTTTACATAATATAAGAATTTAATTAAAAAATAAGTATTTAACGAAAATACCACAAGTATACGTTAATTTGTCGTTTAATTCACAAAAAAGAAATTAAGTGTAAATGTATAATCTAAATATCTTCATTAAGCTTAAAACTTTAACAAAACTTCTACTTATTATCTCGTTTATGACCAATCTTGTAATTACCAGACCTCGACTTCTATATAAAATATTTACTATTGATAAGAATTGAACCTTATTTAATTTAAATGCATAGATAAATATTTGAAAAAAATTGTACTAAGATTTTCACTTGGCTCTCAGCCAAGTCATAGATGGAACCTAATATTGAAAAATAACGGAGGTCTCTCGATGATTGCAGCAGAGTACCTTGTTATCAAGCAAAGTTATCTTTGAAAGAAAATTTTTTAGGCTCTTGAAATATCATACATGATGTATACATCATTATTACTACTTAGATCACTATCGTTTACTTATAAAAAATTACACAAAGTAATATACAGTACTACGGTAGTAACGCAAAGCCAAAAAAAAAACCGGACGATCGTAGTATATTACACGAAACATAGGTTAATCATTGTGTAAGTACAAGTTTATATAGAATATAAAGTTAAAAAATGGATAGATTTCATCAATTAAAATAAATAGATAAAAAAAATTCAAATTAATTAAATTCATCGGATAATTCTAAGAAAATGTATAGTCTCGCTCCTTACAAATAATAGCGGTTCAATTTATAATAAACTTTTATCATCAATAATAAGCTTAAGTTGATCTTAAGTCCATTATTTTTGTTAAGACGATATTTGGCAGTTGGCTAAACTGTATTAGCCAGTGACGTCACGCGAGTGTTAAAACCTGCTGCATCCGTATATTGGCTGACAGTATAAAAGGAGTCGCGGCACATGGTGAAACTTGGGTTTTTCTCGTAAAAACCCCACATAAGACGTTATCCGTAGTCGGTGTTTTTATATAAATTAAAAAAAAACTGATTTTACTCCAATTGTATAAACTAATTTAATTTAAAATTCCTAAACAATTTATTAAAAATAATTTAATATGTCTGTATCTCAAACGACAGTGGTGAGTATTTAATATTGTTATAAGTGTTAGTAGTACACCATATGCCACATATGCATTTCAATTATTGGAAACCTTATTAATTTTTAAAAATATCTTTTGTTAATTGAATTTATTTTTATTATGGTTACAATTTTATTAAAATTTTTCATATATAATTTATTTTTTCAAGTAATTGTTTTGGTCTGAAGGTTACTTTGTAGGTCAACAATTTGTTAATCTAAAGTTTACATCATTGTATATTATTTCATATAACTATTTTTTTAAATGTATTCAGAATACGTATTTTTGTCTAATATATGTATATATTTTTGTGATTTTGTTATGATTGTTTTCATTTATTTTGGAGTTTAGAAAATATTTTAAAATGATAATGTAACGAAAATTTTGTATTTGAGAGAAAATACATATAGTGAATGTAAAAAAAGTGACTTGTAGATAAGTTAACTAAAAAATATAAATAACAAGTGTTCAGTGTAAATATGTCATGCAAACATAATTAGTGGTATTTTTTCCAAAATTGAACCCTTACAAACAAAAGAATTTTTAATTTGTATCAAACAATAAGATAAATTTTTTATTGAGATTTTATTGTTCACCATAATATTGACTTATGTATTGGGTTATCCTCTTTTTTTCACTTCATTAAAATTCTAAAATATTTAGATATTGAAGGTTAAGTTTCTTATTTATAATAATAAGTTTAATTTTTTAAATCAAGATTTTTGACATAATGATATTATTTTAATAGGCAGTTTTAAAATATAATTAAACTTTAAAAAATTTTTCTAAACTTATTTTTATTTTAAATCCAACGTTAAAGATACTTTAACGTTAAAGAATTTCCTTAACTTCCATTTTGTGAAGAAAAATGAAAAATAATTTTTAAAAGTGTATAAAAGCTTCAAACTACTAAATTTATTTTACTGCATATTTATAAATTTTAATTATCATAAATTATTTTACTTACATGAATATTACAAGTTTTTTTATAATATACATTTTTTATAGGTGTAAAATATATTCTTAACTAAAGTTGTTTAATTTAAAACTAGTTTTATTTACATAAAACATGTTGAGCTTCATTATTTTGTAAAGAAATATGTTAACAACTATATCATTTTTTATGTATATGAAGTGAATAATGATAAATAAAAAAAATGTGATGTATTTAGTACTTTTAATAAAACAGATTTTTAAAAATCATGATTTTATTTTAGATTTGACAGATACCCTAAAAGTTTGGGCATCAATAAGTTTTTAATAGTTAAAAATCCTTATTATTCTTACTGCCAGTCCAACTTAGGTTTTATTATATGATAATATAAATTGATCAGAAATACTCGTAAGCTATATTGTATGACTTTTATAGATTTCATAAAGATTAAACATAAATAAATCAATAATAATTATCAGCAAAATATACAATTCTTTTAAATGTCAACAAAAAATGATTTATACACATCCATTACTAATAAAAATTTTCAAAAAAACTAAAATTTCTAAAAAAAAAAACAGATTTTTTTTCAGAAAAACTTAAAACATAATAATAACTTAATAAGTTTTCTTAACTAAAGTAAGGTAATTTTAAATGAAATTAGAAATTATAAAGCTAGTTGTACCAAACGGTTGTATTTTTTAGTCAACTTTTGATAAATTTTCAGGAGAAAAAAACAAATTTGTTTTATTTTAAGTGTAAAGAAAAGTTTTGCTATAACTGGTAAAATATTGTACATTTCTATTTATTAAAAATTTTCTTAATGTAGTTCCTGCCATATATTATTTTATCAAAAAATAAAGTATATTTAGCTTTTTATTGCAGCAATCTCCTCAATTATAAATGTATTTTTAAAGGGAATGCCTATTATTTATTTTTTAATTACAATAAAAATAATAACTACAAATTTAAAAATAGAATTTTTGCATCTTAAGTAATATTTATTAAATATTTTAAGAAAAATAATGATTATATAATTATTTAAATTATTTGCATTAACCCTATTTCATTTTATGAAGTATAAAATTTAATTCAGCTTTTATTATGTTTATTTTCAATTTAGTTAAAATTATATGAAGCAGTTATTGAAGACACTATAAATGGATCTCGTGAATTTTTTGCTGAAGAGGGTATAGACGATCAGATTTTATTAGAACTAAGAGCATCATGGGAATCAAAAGTAAAGGCTAGTAAAGCAATTGATCCACCAGTTCAACCAGAAGTCACCCAGCTTCCGAAAACTGCACCTCAGCCACAATCTGTTGTAAATAAACAAAATAAAGGTGGCCAGTATACACCAACAATAGTTAGTAAGTTATAATGTCATATTTGTGTCTTAATAATTTTAAAAGAATATTAATATTTTAAATAATTTTTTTTTTTTTTTTAGATAATAGTGTGCAACAATTGAAAATGATACAACAGCAAAAAATGCAACAACAACTTCAACAACAACAACAACATCAGCATCAGCATCAACAACACCAACATCAACATATACAACACCACCAACAACCACAGCAGCAAAATAACTTGATTTTGCCCTCTGATTATGCTAATAAATATGTTCCAATTCAAATTACGTTACCAGCTCAACCAGGTTCGCAAGAATCAGGTTCTAGAGTTCTCTCTATTCAAGTTCCTAGTTCTGCTATACAAGGTAAACTTTTACAAATAATTTAAAAGTTAATTATAAACATTTATTGATACAAATTAAATTTGATAGGAAATATTTTACAAAGCATTCTTACTGGGCCAGTCATCACTAACAGTATGGCACTACCCACTCATTTAGCAACTGCACTTTTGCAACAACATGTCAATAATGTTTTACAGGGTCAAAGCATATCTGGTAATTAATTAACTAAAATTTGATTGATTTTGATTATTTCTTATGTTTTATTGGAATATTTTTATACTATTATTTTTGAAACCCATAATAGGTATTCAAACTGTTCAATCTACTGAAGTAATACAGCAGCAACAACAACAACTTCAACAAAATAATCAAACATTTATTAGTGGGAATGGCTCAACAGGGGGTGTGAAAAGAACTATTGCTCAAGTTGATGGTACTAATGATTCTTCTACATCCGATGAAGATGATGATGATATTGATGATGACCTAGGCGATGATGATGATGACGATGATGATGAGGACGATGACAAAGAGGATCAAAATAGTGCTTCAGATGCTGTAAGAATTATTTTTTAGTTGAAAGTAGCCAAGTTTATTAACAACCCAAATGTAAACATTATTATTATTTATTGTTTTATTTATGTAGCATGATACTTTTGTAAATGTAGAGTATTATTGTTATTTTTATTTTTTCAAAAATGAAATAAAACAATAAAAATTTATCTTAAGTTAATAATTATTTATAAATGAGGAAATATCAAAAATATATTTGGAAAAATAAAAGATCTTGTTTACTCTTGTTTTCCTCATAAATAGTAATGAGTGATTTGATTATTTGTATCTTTTTTGCATTATGTACCATACTATTTTTCAAGCAATTTTCTTATTTACACTTAATATATTATAACAGCCATTTTAATTTAAAAAAATATGTTTCAACTAAAAACTTTAACAACAATTGATGCTGTAACCCATTTTTATTATTTTTTTCTCCGCTTATCAAATAGGGTAATGACACTAGTCATTGGCAATTTTTATGTTTAATATGTCTTTAATGTTCTGAAAAGTAGACTTATATTTTCTTATTCAGTACCATAGTTGATTCAAAAAAATATTATTTAAGACTTAAATAAATTATTAACCAGGTATTAAACTCGAATGGCAAAAAATGGTTTATATTTTAATGACTGGTGTTGTTACTTTATATCTCAAGTACAAAATTGATTGTATTAAGACATAAATAATAACTTTTAAAATACAGTAATCTTATTGTATTTAAAACTTTTAAATTATGTTATTGAAAGCTGTTATCATTTCTTAGTAATTTTATATATTCTTAATAATTTAACCCAATTCAACTATCTTAGAAAGGTCCATTTGAAAATGACAACCCACAAAGACTAATATTTAATTTAAAAACAAAAGTAGTTGATAATTAAAAACGAAAAAAAAATTTCTATTCAAAATTCCTTCTTAAAATAAGGATGAATAATTGAAAATTAAACAATTTTTGAGTTATTTATTGTATCTTAAATAAATATTCTTCAAGATTTCATCTTAAGTAACAGCTCTGCGTTTTTAATATGACAAATTGGTATGAAAATATAATTTCATTACTTAAGTTTTTAAAGTATTTATAATATAAATTAATATAAGTTAAATATAATAAAAAAATTAATTTCTGTTGATACATCCTAATTGTAATACTTATTATAATTTAGGAACCATTAAATTCTGGAGATGATGTTAGTGATGTTGATAATGGTGATTTATTTGAAACAGATAATGTAATTGTTTGTCAATATGATAAGGTAATTTTTGTATTTATATTCCTTGACAAATTATCAAAATTTGACATAATTCTTCTAAAAGTTAACAAATATTTTTATTAATTCAGTTAGTTGATTTAACAATGCAAACAAATTAAATTTAAATGTTTAATAAACATGATTAAAAATAATAATACATTTTTTTTAGATTACCAGAAGTCGAAATAAGTGGAAATTATACTTCAAAGATGGTATAATGAGTTTGAATGGTTATGATTATGTCTTTCAAAAAGCAACTGGTGATGCTGAATGGTAATAGAGGCATTAATAATTATTACGCAGCTAAATGTCACAAAATGATAAAATTGTAAAATTTTTCAACTTGAAACATTAATTGTTGATTGTATAAATTGGGTATTATAATTGTATAGGTACCTGTTCTCGGGCCTTTAATTGTGTACAAAATTAAATGTATGTATTGTGTGTGAGGCATAAATAATTTGTATTTTAATACATATTTTCATTTGTGAAAATATGACAGTATTTTTATATTACATTTTTGTTTAGTTATCGTCTTATAAATAAATAAGAAAGTTGTAATATTTTATTTAAAATGTATTTTCATTAACATTACACTATAATTTGTGTTTAATTTATTACAACTATCATAATTTATCTTTATAAAATTAGTTCTTATTTTTTCACTAAATGCTGAAAAAATGTAGACTATTAAGCCGTATAATCTTTGAGAATTAAACAAATACAAACTTTTTGTAATAATTTAGTTTATGATTTGAGTATTTATATTTGAATCTATAAACAAAATGTATAAACTTATTAAAAATTTGTTTGAATTTATCATAATAAATGTTTAAATAATGAGAAATTAAAAAAGTCTGTTATAAAATTATTTATACAATCTTTTGCATTTCTATTTAAAGCCTTAGAGTTTGTATGAATATTTTTTTTAATTTTTCTATACAAACTAAGATGCAATTGAATTATCAATTATTTTAATATTATTTTGTATCAAAGATTATAGGGTAAAATTGACTTACTTTGGTATTGTAATTTTTTTTTTCTATTATAATTTTCATCCAGTAACATTACAGAATATTAATCTATGAATTTATCAAGAATTAAATTATATTGTACATACATGTACAGAGTATTTTAAGACTCTTATTATTTGTTTTGGTGAATGATTTTTTTATAATATGAGTTATTCTAAAACTACTATAAAAATTGACTTCGAAGTAAATGTATTAATTGAAAATGTATGAAAGGATTACTATTAAATCTGTTTGTTATTTCTTTGAATTTTTTATTAATTATTCACATTTACATACTTTATATTTAACCTTTTTTTGATAATACATACATTGATCAATTATGTATAAGGTTAAACAATTTTTGTTCATCCCTTAAGTGCTAAAAATATAAACTATATTTTTTATAGGAACTAAACAATTTTGTTTTTATATTTCTTTTGTTATTCCTTGTTAAAGTTTAACAATTTTTGACTAATTTTTCTATTATTGATTTGCTATTTTGCACACAGTAATTATCATTTCTTCATACTGTCTTATAAAAAAAATTGAATTGAGTATTGTTGTTATCATATCTATTACAATATCTAGAATTATGCAAATAATTTATGGTTTTATGAAAAAGATTATTGTTCCTTCGGTTTTATTAAAACGGAAAACTAAATTTTATTTTAAGTACAAACTTATAAACAATTTTAAAGTGTAATCAATTTACTGGATAACAAAAGTTATAAAAATAAATTGTTTGTTTTATTTTTTTCTGTCACATAAGACCAAAAATAGGTATTCCATTAAAGTAAATTAAAGTTTAGGTTTTTTATCCTGAAAGGATAAATAATAACATGTTTACTACGTATAATTTTACAGATTTTTAAATCAAATAATATTTTTCTATACAAAAATTGAAGGTATTTAAAAAACAAAAAAAGAAAGGTCCTCATTGGCCTATTTCATCATCATAAGAAGCGGACGATTAGTTAAATGACTGGTGGAACAAAAAAAATGAGAAAATAAACATAATGTACCGGAATTAAAAACAGAGATCAGCTAAAGTTAATAAATTGAGCACCTTATGTACTAATAAATAATCATGCAGACAGTCAATCCCCCAAAATTATAACGTTTCATAATAATAATTAATTTTCGTGGCTATTATTACTTAAAATCATAAATATATTAAAAATATTAATTTAAAAGTGAAAAAATTGACTCAAAAAGCCACAAGAATTACTAAAAAGATGCGTATACGAAATTTTGGAATAATTGTAGCATTGTAACAAAAGTTAAACATTTTGTATAGTTTTTAGATTTAAATGTACTTTTAATTTTAAATTATATTGTTATCTAATAATTGATTTTGACGTAATTCAACATTTAAACGTTGTATAATTTTTATGTTTAACGTTCCTACATTTTTAAGTTAATCAATAAAAGGGTTAGACTTAATTCACTACCATAAGGATTTTTTAATGACTACTTTTTTTTCACATAGAATTTTTTGCAATATGATACGAAAACAAATTTTTGTTTTACGTTGTAACTTTTCAGTAGTTATATAATACTTATTTTTAGTTCAGTACTTATAACTAATTATACTAATATTTTATAATTATTACTTTTAATTTTATTTAACGTCCTCTAAAAGCTATTACTTGTGTCAGAGAGGACGAGAAATCCACATTTTACAGTAATTAGTATCACAAATTTTTGGTTTTTATTTTTCAGTTTTTGATTGCGTTTTAGCAACATTTTTCGTTTTAAGCTTTGTAATCAGGAATTGAAAACGTTTTAAAAATTACATTTTATTAAATAAATCCAAAAACTTTGATTATTATGTACCAAAAATATTGTTAAATTAGTTTTTTAATTAAATTATAGCCTCTGAAACGATATTTTCGATTTATTTTGGAACAAAGCAAAAATGTTCCAGAACCCATCAATTAATCAAGAATTAATTTAAATTCATGATTTTTTTAAAAATCCTAATCTGTTTCAATATCTAAACATAATCCACATCAATAAAAACTGATATTTATATTAAATAAAAGATAATTTGTGTAAAAATAATGTTTTTAATTATGATTATAGCGTATACTTTCCATATTCCTCTATCGAAAAATTAAAAAATTACATAATTTATAAAGGTAAAAATACAATCAAGTTCACTCAGTGGCATTGACGGACCCTAGGAATAGCTATCTAAAAAGCAACGTATTATTTTTAACTTAATAAATAAAATATTTAAAAAAAGTTGCTGAACTAAATCAAACGTGAATAATTACTTTATGTAGACCTTATTTTTGAACATAATTGTAATACACATTTGTTATTTACATATTTTTACCGAGACTGTCATAGTTTAAAATATCATGATAAAATAAAAATTAGGATACATTTGATGTAGTAAAGTAAATTTTAATCATACAAATTACGCCAAGATTTTTTGGTTAATTACTATTAAGAACTAAATGTGTTATTAAAATGATTTCTATAAAAACCAAATATGTAAATCAACGATCAATGATAATTCCTTCAAACCCACAGTCAGGTTATTGTAAATAAAATAATTTTTTTCAAAATAAAACTAAAGATTTCTTTAAATTTTACGGACGGTCTGTCGTATAAATGAGCTGCTGAAAAAAATCTCAGGGTCATTTAAAATTAGGGTTAAAAAAAACAAGATCCATTTATATTATTATTGAGATACTAACTACCAAGCTTTGAATAGTTTCAAAGTAAAATTGCATTATAACATACAGAATAATGGATAATAATTACAAATAATAATTGAGAGAAGAGAATAATTTTTATTAAGTCCTATTTCCCATTAGTTACAGTAGGTAGCTATAACCTGTAACTTCTTAATTCATTAGGAGCCTCAGATTTTTATGGCGAATTTTTTTTTGCCGTATAAAATAGGGCCCAGAATTTTAATCTTACTTTAGGCTCCAAAAAACCTAAATCGGGGTTTAACTTTTATATCAAACAATAAAATAGTTTTTCATAGCCAAAGTATACAAGAAATTATCGAAAAATGCTATGTTAAATTAATTATTTATAATTCATTATCAGAAATATTATGTTTGAATACGGTGTAGGTCAAATTATAAGTTATTTAATATATTTTTAATTATTATAAAATACGATATAGAATTAAGTAAAGATGAATACAAACTACCTACATTAATCAACATTAATAATTAATCGCATTGAGTGCATTATTGAATGCGATTACAAATATACAACGAGGCCGATATCTTTCCATGTGCAGTGTTTTATAGTGAAAATATTAAAAATATTGTATTATAATATAATACAATATTAGATATTATACTATAATACCTAATTTATTTAAAATGTAGATATTTAATTTATCGATATAGTTAGCTTAGGTTCAAATAGTAATAGTAATTGTACTTGTATTTATATGGTTAATACAATTTTTTTTCATTATTTAAGACACATAATTGGTACTTTGGACAACCTGACGAAGCCCTGCTGATTATGTGAGATAAAATTTTCTCATACTTCTCGTTCACCTAGCCTAATTTACAGTATCCGTGACCCGGCACCTTTTAGGCTGTACCTTTTGGCTTGAGCTTTGTAATTTACCGCTCTTTTTAAAATTTCAGTCTTAAAATACTATCAAAATGATTTCTCCTTTTCATCAACTGAAGAAGCCATCCGAACAACAAAACACCATGATGAAATACCCTCAATTTCAATCTCACCTTGTACCAGGTGAGTAGAATAATACGATTTTTGTAAGTATATAGATTTTATTATTATTATTGATATTTTAAAGGGAGAACTATTGCTGCTGCTGCTGTAAATGAAGATAGTTGTGAGTTTGGGTCTCCAAAATACTTTGCTCTTTGTGGCTTGGGTGGCATTATATCATGTGGATTAACCCACACTATGGTGACACCTTTAGATCTAGTCAAATGCCGTCTTCAAGTAAATCCTGGAAAGTACAAAAATCTAATTAATGGTTTCAAGGTTACTATGGCCGATGAAGGTGTTCGTGGATTAGCCAGGGGTTGGGCTCCAACTGCTATAGGTTATTCAATTCAAGGACTAGGAAAATTTGGATTGTATGAATACTTTAAAATTTTTTATGGTAACATCATAGGAGAAGAAAATGCCTATTATTGGCGAACATCGCTCTATTTAGCTGCTTCTGCATCAGCAGAACTTTTTGCTGACATTGGGTTAGTTCCACTTGAATCTATCAAAGTCAAAATTCAAACTACACCAGGTTTTGCTAATACTATGCGAGAAGCTGTCCCAAAAATGATTCAACAAGAAGGTGTATCTGCTTTCTTCAAAAGTTTGGTACCTTTGTGGATGAGGCAAATTCCATATACCATGATGAAGTTTGCCTGTTTTGAAAGAACTGTTGAGTTAATTTACAAACATGTTGTGCCTAAACCCCGTGCTGATTGTACTAAAGGAGAACAGTTGGTTGTTACTTTTGCTGCTGGCTACATTGCTGGAGTTTTCTGTGCTGTTGTATCTCACCCTGCTGATACACTTGTTTCAAAACTAAATCAAGAAAAAGGAGCTTCTTCTATAGATGTTCTTAAGAAAATTGGTTTTGGCGGTTTATGGAAAGGTTTAGGACCCAGGATTATCATGATTGGTACTTTAACTGCTCTTCAATGGTTTATATATGACTTTGTTAAAGTATCCTTAAACATTCCTCGACCACCACCTCCAGCTCCTCCTAAGGGAAAAACCGAATAATGCATAAAAGTAGAAACATTTAATAACCATCAATCTTATTGAAGTCTAGATAAATCAAGTTTTACTATTACAAGTCGATTGACAGTGTTTTCAATATTATATGACCGAAAATATCTAATTGCTTTTACTTTTATTTAAATACTAGATGCTTTTATTATCATTCCGAAAACCAGACCTCATATATGTACTAATGAAAAAATGTGCAACTTTTATTGTATACCTAATATTGTTTGTCATATCCTTGCTTAAAATAATTACTTAAATGTAACTAGTCCTATAGAATTTACCAAAGTACATTTGATTTATTAAGTTATTAATGAGTTTGTTGTTAATTATTTAATCTTTGTTGTTAAATTTAAGAAATAAAATACTTAGAAACATATAATTTCAAATGTTATTTTTTTTTATAAATCTGTTTTAAGTTAGTTCTTGTTAATGGTGGAGTTATAAATAGATTGAAATATTTGGCACATTTACTATATTGTATGGTTATATTTAATGATGGTCAAATGGGAAGGGATTAGGAGGAAGATCCCCTCCATAAATCTAATCTTTTTAAATGATCGTCATGAAAATGCAAACATTTTTAGTAATTTAAAATATATTAGTTTAATTTTTTAGTTAATAGTAAAACCAGTGCTCGAATTGGGGGGGGTGCGCAGGGGGACGTAGCTCCTCTACTTTTTTTAAAATTTTTTTGCGCACCCCAACTACTTTTTTTTATTGAGACGGGAGGACGGTGGAAAATACCACCTCTTTTTTTTTTTTTTTAAATATTAGTATGATAATGAAATATGATTTATTAATAAATACTAAATAAAGTAATGAGTAAAAAAAAAAAAACTTCAAAATACTAGGGACGCAGTTTTCAAATTGTTAAGTTGAGCTACCCTACTTATTTTTGGCCAATTCGAGCACTGAGTAAAACTAATATAATATATATATGAAAAAAAGGACCTTCCTTGTAATTAAGTTACTTGTTTATTATAAAAGTAATATAACTTTATTTCTTGTTATATTCAGTAATTTTTAGTTTGATATAAGTACCAAAAAAAAGTAATATACCACATTTAACACTGGTTGATTATTAGCTTCGATGCGAAGCGGTGATGGTATTCATTTTACTATGATGTGTTTTTTTTTTTTTTTTTTTTTTTTTTTTTTTTTTTTTTTTTT